CCACTTTTGAGACTTTTAGTACCTTTCTTGAATGGGCTATAAAAGCAAAGTCAGGACTCAGGGGCGTCGTACATTATCTCGACGATTTTCTTTTTGTAGGTAGAGGCGGATCGGGGGACTGCGGTGCCCTGTTACGCGCTTTTCAGCAGCTAGCGGGGTCCCTGGGGGTGCCCCTAGCTGAGGAAAAAACGGAGGGCCCCCTTACTGTTTTGACATTCTTGGGGATAGAACTGGACACAGTCAATCAATTTTTGAGGCTGCCGGAGGAAAAGGTTGAGGGTTTGATAGTCAAGATAGGGCAATTCTTGCCTTGGCATAAGACCACCTTAAGGGAATTCCAACAAATAATTGGACATTTAAATTTTGCATGTAAGGTTATAGCGCCCGGACGGGCCTTTCTGCGCAGATTGTGTGACGCTATCTCCGGCGTGTCTTTGCCCCACCATCACATTAGACTGACACGAGAGATAAAGGCAGATTTGTTCATTTGGCTGCGATTCCTGCGCCAGTTTAACGGAATTTCGTTTTGGCTTCAGGAATTGATGGTTAAAAATGCATTACAAGTGTCTTTGGATGCATCAGGGGCAGTTGGATTTGGAGTCTACTTCGAAGGGCACTGGTGCGCAGAAAGGTGGCCCGACCACTGGCATACGCTGGGCATAACATCAGACTTAACCTTTTTGGAATTTTTTCCTATCCTGGTGGCAGTCACCCTTTGGGCTGACAGGTTTGCCAATTCCACGGTTCATTTTTGGTGCGATAATATGGCCACAGTACAGGTCATTAACACTCTCACATCTAAATCACGCAGGGTTATGGGCGCCATCCGGCAATTTGTTTTACACTGTCTCAAATTTAATGTATTGTTTCAGGCATTCCACGTCGCAGGTCTCAATAACGCCTTGGCTGACGCTCTGTCTCGTATGCAGATGGAGCGATTCAGACTGCTGGCACCCGACACGGACGTATATCCGGAGCGCATGCCAGACCATCTCTGGAAGGCTGGAGCGATGAAACAGCATTAGGTATGAGATTGGCATTAGCTCCCAGCTCCAGGAAATCGTACATTAGGGCAGTCCAGGAATTTTTGGAGTTTAGGCAACACTATAACTTACCCGAAACTATGCCGGTGCCTTTCGAGCAATTGGCTCAGTTTTGTGTATACCATAGGAGGAGAGGCTTAGCACCCCAGTCCATTAGGTCAAAGTTGTCAGCGCTCGCATATTGGTTCAAGGCCCAGGGCCTTAGTGATCCCACTGATGACTTTCGAATACATAAAATTTTAACGGGATGGTCCAGGCAGCGCGGGCATCTCAGGGACGACCGGCAGCCAATGACACCTGCAATTCTTAGGGGACTGAAACAACTGTGGCCCAGCTTGTGCACATCATATTATGAGCAGGTTTTATATCATGCAGCGGCGTTGACTGCATTTTTTGCAGCTCTACGGGTGAGTGAATTGGTGGCATTATCCAAGAACGATACCTCACACCGCGCACTTCTGGTTTCCGACATTAAGGTTTTTCAAGATAGCATGGAAATCAGAATTAGAGCTTCCAAAACAGACCAGGGGTCGAAGGGTCAGGTGATTAGGCTGCTAAAGTGCGGGGAAGAAGACCTATGCCCTGTGGTGGCCATGACACAATTTGCGGCACTCAGGGGCATTGAGAAAGGTTACTTGTTTTGCCATCAGGATGGAAAACCGCTGACCAAGTACCAGTTCTGGACCATCACAGCTAAGGCACTGGACCTCCTGGGAATGGGACACCTTAAATTTGGGACCCACTCCTTTAGGATTGGAGCTGCCACGGCAGCAGCAGCAATGGGATACGGAAATGAGGAAATCAAATCCATAGGTAGATGGAGGTCTGGTGCGTTCAAGTTACGTACGGTCAGTTTCATCCTAGTTATCGTTATCGTTACAGGTCGCGCAGGGCTGGCACATAGAAGAAGGGTCCTGGTCTGCGGACACAGTTATGTCTTCTGGGCAGGGAGAGAGGCCCACAAGACTGCCTATGGCCAGCATTTGGGTCTCGCTTCCACGGCAACGGTGGAATGGAGAGGCAAGAGAGGCCTGCGTTGGGACGGTTTGTGCCCCTTGTTGTTTGATGCCGGGAGTGGTTTCCCTCCTGATGTGTTGGTTATCCACCTCGGTGGTAACGATTTGGGCCTGCTAACAGGCAAAGCCCTCTTTTTGCAAGCACGGGCGGACATTCGAAAGATTTGGTGGACATGGCCCCGGGTGCACGTCGTTTGGTCTGCTATCATACCTCGTCGCAAGTGGCTAGGAGGAGGCGACGTGGGGAGGCTGGAAAAAGCCAGAAAACGAGTGAACCGGGCCATGCGACTGTTCATGATCCATCAGAGGGGTCATTACATTGAGCACCCAAACATCACACGTGACGACGAGAGGTTATATCGTGGTGATGGAGTACATCTTTCGGAATTGGGCAACCAACGATTTTTGTTAGATTTACAGGAAGGTATTAGAAGGGTGTTAGAGGAATTGGTGGGGGATGGGGGCGAAATAGACATTTGCCCCCAATCCGTGGCGTAAATAGATAGGGAAATTCCTTTAGTCGGTGTGCACCTAGGGCACCCCTTTAAGGGGTGAAAGGCCGTTAAGTTAAACACTCACCTACAGTTTAAAGGGTGAGGTGTAGTTAAATGGCCTTTAATTGGAAGGAGTCTCGATACAAGAGCTCTGGAAGAGACTCCTTATTCCTTTCCCTTGATGGTGATACGGTTTGATTACTGAAACCCAGGTGCTTCGCCCGGAAATTGTTGTTATCGGGTAGTGATACTACCTGGGTTAGGTTACACCACTTCCTTGCACCCTTGAGTTAGGTTAAGAACTTAAATAGGTAACGTTAAATAAAAGTTGCCCAATTTGAATCCAATCATTGGTGTTGTGTCTTTTATTCTCGTGTTTTACTTCGTGGGTTGGCAGACAATAGTTTTCCTCTCCCCATGAAGTGGGGAGAGAAAAAACATTTGTCTGCCTCACACGAGGCAGGGAGGAGTTCTGGTGGAACCCTCCAGAACATCCGGGGGCATGGCCTGCGAGCACAGGCCAGGCCCTCCCAGGCTCATTCCGCGCCTGGATGTTGGCCCACCACTCCCGCCCATTAACAGTATATCTTGCGGTTGCCTGCGGAACCGGGTAGGAATTTTTTCCTCTTCTTGTTTATAGGGGGGGTTTTTTGCCTACCCTATACTGTTTAGGGGCTAGATAGAGGAAGTGGGCTACGCTTTAAATAGGCCAGGCGTAAATAGATAGGGAAATTCCTTTAGTCGGTGTGCACCTAGGGCACCCCTTTAAGGGGTGAAAGGCCGTTAAGTTAAACACTCACCTACAGTTTAAAGGGTGAGGTGTAGTTAAATGGCCTTTAATTGGAAGGAGTCTCGATACAAGAGCTCTGGAAGAGACTCCTTATTCCTTTCCCTTGATGGTGATACGGTTTGATTACCGAAACCCAGGTGCTTCGCCCGGAAATTGTTGTTATCGGGTAGTGATACTACCTGAGTTAGGTTACACCAGTTCCTTGCACCCTTGAGTTAGGTTAAGAACTTAAATAGGTAACGTTAAATAAAAGTTGCCCAATTTGAATCCAAACATTGGTGTTGTGTCTTTTATTCTCGTGTTTTACTTCGTGGGTTGGCAGACAAAAGAGTTAAGTCCAATGTGTTGGCATTGTGGGGAAAAAAGGAATGGCATGCCCATATTTGGTGGGAATGCCCAAAGATAATTCCTTTCTGAAAAAAGTTAATGAAGACAATGGAGAAAATAATCAAAGTACCACTACAACTAGATTTAGATATGCCTTCGACCATAGATTTTGATATGTTATTAATGGGAGTACTAGGTAATACCAAAATCAATACAAAAGAATACAAAAGAACAAAAATGTTTTAAAATATGATCTTGTGAGGACAAGAAGCAATAGAATGGGAGTGGAAAGATGGGAAAAAATGGGTGATGGAAAATTGGAATAGTTAGTTATCTATATGATCAGGTTCAATTTCAAGTTATAACAAGTTTAATGGGGGATGATATGCAAGAAGACAAAATAGAAGAAATAAAGAACAAATGGATGACTTAAATGGAAAAGGGTTAAAAAGAGTGAAGCCAACACAACCATCTTAAGAAAGCTGTGTGCATGATTAAAAATAGCCATACAATAGAGAAAATATGTGGTCAGAAGGATGGGTGATGGGTGAGTAACATGGGTGGTTTTTTTAATTGAAAAATTAGTTAAATGTTATTTTTTTTTAAAAAAAGGATGTATATAAGAAGACTTGTGTAAATAATCTGTCAAATGAAAGTGGAACATATCCCACAACACATGTGCAACCATCACGGTTAGAATCCATTGCTATTTTGCAGAATTGTACAAAATAAACATTAAAAAGAATAAAAGAAAACCAAGACAAATATTTGCGAAATATCCAAAGAAATCATTGCTTCAATCTATACCAATTTCCCATATTTTCTCTCACTGGATACCAGATTTCCTGATCTGAATACAAATAGTTTCTGATATAGTTAGGAAGTGAAACACACTAGAGTCTTGTTTATCCAACATAAATGGGCCAGCAGAACGTTGGATAAGCAAAAAGGTTGGATAATAAGGAGGGATTACGGAAAAGCCTATTAAACATCAAATTACTTTGTGATTTTACAAATTAAGCACCAAAAATCATGTTTTACAACAAATCGACAGAAAAAGCAGTTCAATACACAGTAACATTATGTGGTAATTACTGTATTTACGAATTTAGCACCAAAACATTGCAATGTATTGAAACAGCTGTGGATCCGGGGGGGGGGGGGGTAGATTATGTTGGATAATACTGAATGTTGGATGAGTGAAGGGTGGATAAGCGAGACTCTACTGTAGCTTAATAGTAGAAACTGTGACAGATACTCCTCTGCCCCTTTCTCTGAACTCTCCCAGGTTAACATGTTTACTTTAAATAAAGTCAAGAAGGGTGGCTACCTTTATCCATGTCATTTTCGTATTAGCATCCCTGAGTTCTAAAATGCAGTCAAATATTGCTGTCGAGTCCACTTTGGCAGAAACATCCTCCAAGGGTTTCAGAATTTTTATAGCCTGTAAATACAAATGGAAAATAAATCAAAATGGTGGGCCATTTTTATCATTTAATCTTATTTTTGTCTTGATTAGAATTTCTGAGTTGTAAATCTAATTATTGGTACAATGTGCTTACAGTCTTGCAAAACTCCCCTCTTTTTATTACCACTTGTTATGATGCCACATTTTATGTTACATACATTTTGTTATTATATTATCATGTTACCCAAAAGGAATAATATTTTTTTAGTGTGGGATCATGCACATGATAGAGAAAGAAAATGTGCAATGCTCATTCTTGTGGCGTATTAGAGCAAAACAAATGTTGACAAGAGCTTTAGTTTACGCTGCAAAAAAGTTTGCCAGTTATTCTGTAGTCAGCCTTACAAGAAAGTTAAAAATGTAAATAAAGAAGTTACATTTTTTTTTACTCAAGAAAACACTTCCCCGTGAATTTCTGGGTTTTCTAACCTGACTCTATAGATATAGCTGGTACATTTTATTCTATCTAGTGAACTAGTTCTTTCCTTCTTAACATCCAAATTGGATAAAAGACAACTGAAGAAAAGTACAACCGAAACATATGCAGGTTTGTGGTATATCAGTTGAAATATATGTCAGTTCATCACTCCAAAGGTTGAAAGCATCGCTAACCTCAACTTCAACTTTTTTCTTCATTTCCTTCAGTTTTTTAAGAAGTCCTCGGAAATCTGTGAAGCCATGTTCCATGCAGACCTTCTCAAAGTCCTTCTTGGGTACCTTGGAGAGAATCTCCAGCATTTCTTTTTCATCAACCACCTTCTTCTCTTTTTTCTTTGGAGCTGGGGGCCCTCTATATGCATACATTCACAAGGTTATCGACCTGCCTATATTAGTTACAGACTTTAGAGCTTCCTGACAACATTACAATTCCTAAGAGTTCTGGAGGCAGAATGAACCTGAACCATTTTGTTTCCTGGAGCAAATTAGCAAATGGCAGCCAACATAATTACACATCAGTGTGCTTTGTGTTTAAGACTGGCCAAGTTACTTTGATGCCTAAGACTGTAATCTCCCAATTCTCCAGTTTCTGGCAACAAAAATGCAATAATAAGCCATGAAAATATGTAATGTTAGCAATGAAGGAATTCCCAAACTTTTTCAGCCGCACAGCCCTTTTTGAAGCAAAAGTTTCTCATGGAGCCCCAAGCAATGTTTATATATTATTTTATATGTAATGTATATACATCCGGCATGGGCAAACTTTTTGACACATTGTGTTTTAAAATTTGACAGACAGGCTGGGCCAGTGGCAGATGGATGGAGAGTGTTTGCATTGACTAATTGAAAAAACATGAGCAAATTCATATGCACACTGCACATATCTTGTGCAGTGCACAGTTCATATAGTCCAGTTCACAGCAGATAATCTGGATTCAGAAACAGGATTATTATATGGCAGTGTAGATCCAGCCTAAGGTGGCCTTTGAGCTTCCTGAGTCAATGTTAAAATTCTTGGCTAGGATATCATTAGGTGCCCTGCTGGCCCTAGTCCTCCCTTCTCTTTACCCAATTTCCTCTCCTTCTCACTTTCTTACCCACAGATAAAAGCATCAGACAGGGACGCTAGCTCATTATTCTGTGGCAAGAAGTGACAGACTTCCATGATAACCTCAAAACTTTGGAATGGTCTCCATTAGATTTATCAGTGCTGTTCCCTTTTTGTAAAAAGAGATTTGGCAGTTGAAACAGAAAAGCCAGAAGAAGCCATCATTTGTGCTGCTGTTTCTCTATGCAGCGTATCCTTTTTGAATGGGTTGCGTTCTTTCAATGAATATTTTGGGTTTTATTATGAGTTTTACACTATCCTCTCAGCTGCCTCAAAAGAATAGAGAGACCCTTTGAATTAATAAACAGGCAAATTGATCCCCTTGGCCTTTGTCAGTGAAATAGGCTTTGTTTTTTTAAACAAAATAACATTTTGGTGCTTGGATATTCGTTTTGGAGTAACTAGTAAGGAAGTTTCACTGGTGACAATATTATGGCAAATTTGCTGTCAGCTCAATATATCCTTATTTGTAGTCAGGCACTTTAAATTGATTTTATTTTTCCTACATACATTTCTAGGGAGTCTAGGAAATGTTTCTATAGAATCTGCAATTCTATAGCTTCATTGCTTATTGGATTTATGTTATATGAGGGATGTTATCTGCTGTTCTGTTTTTGCTTATTATTATGCTGCGGTTCTGTCACTGCAAACTACCATAGAATCTGTGAATAAATGTATCGGACTAATTTTTCTCTTCCTTAATGTGAACAGCCAAATTTTGGCCTCCTCACTGTCACAATCACTTTCATTTATTAGGGAGTCCCCCCAAGAACAATACTCACTGCTTGTCAGCTTTCCAGGATGCCCAGCATCCTAGGCAGAACTATCTTGTAAATTCCCTTTTGGGGAAAATGGTGGAAAGTGTGCACAACCTTTTTGAGAAAGTGTGTTAATGTTACAAGTACTTTGTTAATAGTGTGGTGTCTGTGTGAAGTGTAGTATCTCACCTTTTTTTCAACATTTTTTTGAAATCCAGTTTTTCTTGGCCTTAAAAAAACAAAAAAAATAAAATCAGAGAACAAAGAGGGATTATCAAAACTCTAAGGCAGAAATGGGAATGTCTAATTCTCTTGATGTTTCTAAACTTTGCCTCCTATTATCCCTTGCCAACCTAGCCAGTAATGTAAAATGATGGTAACTGATGTCATGTAATATTTGGAGGACCACATATTCCCTATGTTTGGCTTTCCAAGTTATCCACATCTTATTCCCTGAATTTTCCAGGATCAAAACCTAAGCCCAAGGGGTTTATCCTTGTGATGTCACAGCAATGTATCCTTATGAGGCAGGAGGCAGGGCTAATCTGGCTTTTGGACAGTTGGTTGTGGAAGTGTGACTGAGGGTAACCGGCATAGAAATGGCCTAAAATCCATCTAACCAGTTAAAAGGAAAAACTAGAGTCAGGAGAAATACTACTACTAAAGTATCTCCAACAGCTGGTTTCTGGATATTTTTTTAAATTTCAGCCCCATAATCCTTCTGATTGAGACAGTACAACAAGAGTGCTCATAAGTCACCACACTGGCCCTCCATTCTTTGTTACAATCCTAGTCACTTTTCAGTTTCTTTAATGAGCTTCTTCCTCTGTTCCCACTCATCTCTGGTTGTTATATTGGTACTTACTTTCAGTTATAACCAAGGACACCATGTAGATAATTTCAGCATGATCATTGGTGACCATACACTTGTAATTGTCTGCATCTTCTGATGCGAGGTTTTCCAACTGCAAAGAAAAAGTCACAGACAGAACAAAAGATGTCACGAAAGACACTTGTAGAATTGATACAACCAGAGGAACAATCCCATAAATATGGTGAGTGAACTTGTGCCAGGTTTATGTAGACTAAAAACATTTACTTTTGGTTAGGTATGGATTTCATCAATTTAAATAGTGGATCCTTCACACCTCATTGCAGCTGATTTCCAAGGGATGCAGTAGAAAGTATTTTGGATTTATGACTTCTGGGCAAAAAAAAAAAAAAAACCAAAAAAAAAAAAACAAAACAAAAAACCAAACCAAACAGAAATATAAAACTAGACTTAATAAGTTCTCTTCGTTGTTCAAGGAATGCATGATCAGATGGGCACAGGATATTGGAAGATCAATAGGAATGGAAGAATGGGAAGAAATTTGAATAAAAAAAATTAAATATACGTGCGCTTATGATTTAAAAGAAAATTGGATAAAAATAATGCATAGGTGGTACATGACACCACACAAATTGGGAAAATGTTACAAAAATATAAATAAAGACTGCTGGAAATGTGGAGAGACAGAAGGAACTTTTTACCACATGTAAAAGTTGTGTAAAAAAGCAAAAATATTTTGGACGCATTCACAACCCTTGATGCAATTGATCAAATCTTTCTGTTTTGGTTTTTCATTTTTTTAAAAGTTCAATCTATCCTGAATATGATAAAATTTACAAATGTGGGTGTATTATTATAAAAACAAACAAACCAAAATCAAATTCAAATCCATTCCTTCTTCAAAGGTGCCTTTATGTCAGAAACAGCCAACAAGTAGCCCTGATCATATTCTGCTGCTGGCATGACTAGGGACTGGCCATTGCAAATGTTGAACCCTACCATTAAAACTGTTACCGCATTGTGCTGGGGAAGCAGAGGAGTAAAATATGGTGAGAAAAGGGGGATTTTGAAAGACACACACAGTACCTTAAGGATGTATTCCTTATTGATGCTGTCAAAAAACATCTTCGATCCTTCCTTGATTGGTATTCCGCTTTCTCTTTTCCATGTCACAGTGGGTTTGGGGTTGCCTTTCACTTTGGCTCGAAAGACAGCTTTGTCCCCTGTTGGTAAATCAAAGGAACACTGGGTGAAATGCTGGTCATCAGGTGCCAGAATTAATTTGTATGTTTCTTGAACCAAACGCACCTTTGTACTTGTATGCTAAAGAGTTGCTACATAGTGTTTGACTAGTGTACCCCAGCTTTTGCCAAAATGGATGCTTCTCCCACAGCCCCCTTTAGTTCTGCAAGGCTAGGAAACCCACAAGAGCATTTTTTCACACTATAGAGACTATAGCTGAGAAATTCGGGAAGAAATTTCCAATATTGTTAACAGTGGTTGCCAGAGTATACTGTTGGTCTTTATCTTTTGTTTCATTTACAGTAAGACCCTCATTCCCAGCTGGACCCAAAAATGCATTAAATTACCTGAATACTGATTCCAGCATACCATAGAGTTGCACTGGAAGACCTACAGTGAACTTGTTAGGTCCTCCAATATAAGTGTATTTTAACTTCTGGAGGAAGCATACCATACAATCACCCCCAAAAGGATTCAATGTGGCCTCACAATAAAATTAAATGGAACAACTAAAGTGCTCTAAAAGTTCAAAACAAAAAGATTAGGAATGAAATCTAAATTACACTCATAAAAGAAACCTCGCTATCTACCTGGTAAAATGATTGCCCAGTAATAATGGAGGTCAGTTACCAAATAATCATTGCACAGTTTTGGCTACATGAAGCCTGGCTCTTTGAGCACTGTGTTGCCATTTCTTTAAGGACAACTACAACTTACCTTCAGTGGCCGTTAGTGGATGGGGTTTTTCTACAAACTCTGGGATGCTCTCTCCTGCAGGTATCTCAACAGAGAGAGAGATCATGCTAAAGGACTCCACCGCAGAAGAGGATTTTTGGGAAACCACCTCATCTGTCAGGGAAAAGCATTTGTCATCAAACAGCTGTCCAGATTTTAGAGATGTCTTCAAGAGGACATCTCTTGCAAGTAACAATGTTATCTGAGGGTTAAATTCCTGAATGTGTTTTCTATCCTGTAGTGAGTGCCTAATATATACAATGTGACTCCTGTACTCACAGGGGATATGTTCTCTGTCCCAGGGAGGTTACAATATAAAGGAAGGTAGAGTGAATGCAAAGGAATGTAAGGACATTAATCTGAAAATCATATGTAGAAGATAGATATGGAAATATACTTGTCTTCTTGATGCACTTCCCCTTATTTCTAGCAGGTAATTAAGCCCCATAGCTTGTCCCTCCTGTACCTCCCATCAGTTAAATCGCTCCAATTTCCTATCCTGCACTATGTCCCCGTTTTTATTTGTGCATTTGGCCTAGCCCATCCTGATTTACTCCTTGTCCATAATTGTTATTTCACTTCATACCTGGTGTTATATCCCACTGTGTTAGCCTTCCTTTGCTTTTTTATGTTATTGTTTTTATCATGGTGTATTATTTTAATTTTATTTTAATTTTTAATTATATTATTTTGCTGTATGTATTTCATTTGTTTATTGTATTTGTCGGGCTTGGCCTCATGTTAGCCACCCCAAGTCCCTGTGGGGAGATGGTGGTGGGGTATAAATAAAGTTTAATAGCAGCAGCAGCAGCAGCAGCAGTAATATTTATTTATTTTTTTATTTGCTTTATTTCTATACTGCATTTTTCAGCCTAATTAGGGGAAGATGGGGAAGAAAAGTGGTGGTTTCCTACTGTTTTCGGGGAGGGGAGGTTTTTTTGGTTTTTGCTTTAATTTTAGAAATAGCTTTTGGATTTGAAGAATTAGAAGTGGTATGGAAACATTTAAATAAATAAAACAAAATATAAAGAAGGAATCACAACATGGGTTTTTAGTAAATTGTGGTATCTTGCAATTTAATATATAAAACATCAAAGAACCTATTTGAGAATTTTACTGCTACTTTGTTGTCTGGGGCCTTGGAGTCATTTCCATCTTATGATAACCCTAAAGTGAACTATCATTGGCTTCCTCTGAGGCTGAGAGTGTATAATTTGTTTAACATTACCCAGTGGGTTTCCATGGCTGAGTGGGCATTCAACCCTGGACTCCAATAAATAATGAAAGGGCAGAACAGTGTTGGCTATTTAATTTAATAATACCATACAGTAAGGTCACAATTATTCGACATAAAGAAAAAATGTTGGATAATAAGGAAGGAATAAGGAAAAGCTTACAAACATCAAATTATGTTATGATTTTACAAATTAAGCACCAAAACATGTTTTACAACAAATCAACAGAAAAAGCAGTTCAATACACAGTAATGTTATGTAGTAATTACTGTATTTATTAATTTAGCACCAAAATGGACAAGGGTTCTTTCTTTTTCCCAACCTGGACATTATTTTGGGTGGGAGGCAGACTGCGTTGGATAATACAGAACATTGGATGAGTAAAGGTTAGATAAGTGAGAGTCTACTGTACTTTTTAGGAGTCCATGCTGAGAAGAGGTTCTGATGATATTTTTTGCCTCAGGTGCCAAAATAACATGGCTCACCTGGGATTTATTATGCAATGTGATGCTGGAGTACAATTGCTACTTTCTCAATCCCTGGGCCAGGCTCAGAAGGGCAACATAATTCAGAGTTTATGTTACATTCACTCTTGTGGGTGGCAGGGTGGGAGCAAGTGCAAATTAAGCTGGATCAATTGAAGGGCATGCTGTTTTGTTTGAACATATGGAACATAGTTATTTAACACTATTCATTGAAAGAAGATCAATCAACTCCTGTGGAAATGTAAGCAAATGTAAATGAATACATGGAACAAAATGTCAGCATCAACACACGGGCCACAAAGCAGCTAAAGTTGGTTATGACTCATGCCAAGTCCCACATGCTAGCCTTTAGCTACAAAGTAAATATGGATGATGATCATGGAGATGGGGGAGGACAACACCTAACGAAGAAATCTTGTTTCTTTCTATGGGATACTTCCACAACCAACTTTAGCTGGAAAGGAACTAATAAATTTTGATTCTCATTGATAAGCCACAAAAACCTTTGGTTCTTTGGTCTTCTGCAGATTCATCATAATACTTGCCTCCCACAATTTTGGTCGTGTGAGATGTGTGACTGATGGAGCTGGAACTGGAGCTGGAGATCTCCATGGTGCTTTGCACCTGAGATTGCATTTGCATGACTGCAGTTGCCATAATGTGGATCGTTGGAGCTTTCTACAGACTACAGTGGTTTTCTGAGCTGTGAAATTAAAAACAAACATTAAACTTTATTTATTTATTATTATTCGAACTTATATGCTGCCACTCCCCTGGGGCTCAGAGCGGCTTACAAGAATGACTAAAATCTAACACAATTTAAAACAATTTAAGAACAATTTAAAAACAGCAAATCAACAATCAAAGGCCTGTCAAAACAGGTATGTCTTGCATGCCCTGCAGAAAGCTAATAAGTCCCGCAAGGCATGGACTTCAGGTGGCAGAGTATTCCAGAGTGATGGTGCCACTGCTGTAAAGGCTCTGCGTCTGGTTGCTGTTAGACGCAAGGTCTTGACACTGGGAATTTCCAATAGATCTTGGTCCTCAGAACGGAGGGATCTCTGGGGTTGGTAGGGGGTGAGGCGGTCCCTCAGGTACATCGGCCCCAGACCATGCAAGGCCTTAAAGGTGAGTACCATCACTTTGAAAGTGATCCGGTGCTCAATTGGTAACCAATGCAGCTGAGGGCTCCATGTGCTCCTTCCTTAAAGAGACAGGCAGCAGCACACTGTTTTTCTCTCTCCCTCTCCTTTCGCCCGCTTGGAGAAGCGAGCAAGCAAGACAAGCAGCCCACAGCCAGGGATTTGGCACGTAAGTTGCTTCAGCCGCCCCTGATGCAGCGCTATTATACAGTACTTCACTCACTATGCAGCCGCATGTGGAGGAGGATTCAGGAGCATTCTCTCCTGACGTTTCTCTCATATCTTATAGCAGGCATCCTCAGAGGTTTGTTGGAAACTAGGCAAGTAGGGTTTATATCCCTGTGAAATAACGTCCAGGGTGGGAGAAAGAACCCTTGTCTGTTGGAGGCAATTGTGAATGCTGCCATTGGCCACCTTGATTAGCATTGAATGGCCTCGCAGCTTCAAAGCCTGGCTGTAGAAGGTCCAGGGTGGGAGAAAGAACTCTTGTCTGTTGGAGGCAAGTGTGAATGTTGCCATTGGACAGCTTGATTGGGATTAAATGGCCTTGTAGCTTCAAAGTCTGGCTCCTTCCTGCTCAGGGGAATCCTTTGTTGGGAGGGGTTAGCTGGGTCTGACTCAAACCCGCTATGTCTGTATAGTAGGCCTGTGCGGTTTCGTTTTCCATTTTAAAATATTTTTAATATTATTTTTTAATATTATTTTTTAATATTATTTTTTAATATTATTTTTTAATATTATTCTTAAAAAATAAAAAAAATATTCTAAAAATTCGTTAATATTTACAAAATTTTGTAAATACCAAAACTTTTTTTGGGAAAGTTTTGTAATTATTTTAAATAACGAAACAAAAAAACACCCCAATTACAAAACGATTACAAAACCAAATTTTTGCGTTGTTACCCAGGCCTAGCCACCCATTGGAGACATTGGTATCATTTTACCCATTCATTATTTTTAATGTGTATTTTTAGAACAAATACTCTTACAAGAAAAAGAAAACAATTCCAAAAAGTGAATAATTCTGCAGTAAAACACTATAAACCAATGTATATGTAATCAGGGGAGAGCTATGTCTTAGTTCAGAGTCTCCGGGCTATAAAAAAGGTCAGAGAAAATAAAAAGGTCTTTACTTGCTACCATAAATACAATTATGTAGGTATCAAGCAAGACTTCCTGGACAGTTTCTGGGGGAAAGTAAACATAGCAAATGGAAGATTTCTAGGTGTAAACTATCTTCAATGTCTCACCCTCTGCAATACTAGAAATATGAGGACTGGGCAAGCATTGCCAAAAAGAGGCCCATAAGTCTTATGTAGGAGGAAATGTCATCTTGTTGTCTCCGTTGTGTCTCCATAAAGGCCTCAGGTGATTGCTTTAGTGGTTGAAAGGTGAGATCCTAGGTGGGAAACTGTTTGAGGCTGGTGACATTGGCTCCCAATGAAAGCCTGGGGACTGCATTCCTCTGGGTGGGCAGGGCTGATGGGCTCTTGAGGCACCCAAAGTGGCTGTGACCCTTGTTCCCTCCTTTTCTGGTCCATAAGCTGGAGAGACCCTCCAAATACACTTTGCCTCCACCTCAGTGGATTAGTTACATTGGAGGGGATGGGCCGGGTTCAGGATATCTTGATGCCAAGGCAAATAGTTTCCTATGGTGAGTAAACCAGGGGCTCAGTGGGTATCACTGCAGGATGGAAGAGGCTTTCACCTCCACCCCACAAACAATGAAGCCTTGATGTCAGTGGACAGGAAAGGAATATTTAAATCTTTACTAATTTTTTTGCAAAAAGAGAGAAATGGGGGGGGGGGCACCCTTTGTACATATGTACACACAGTTGTATAGCCACACTCCACAGGCCTTTAGCCAAAAACAAATAGGTCACTTGGGGACAAACAACATGTACATGATGCAAGGCTTTACATGTTAGCACCAGCTCTTTGAACAGAATCCAGAAAGAAACCAGAAGAGAAGGAAATTGTTTTAATGCTGCTGAGATATGATTTCACCAGCCTATCTACCAGATTTAAGGAAGACATCTGACCAACTGGTCCACTCTGGCAGACTCCTGGGCAGAGATCAGGCTTGGTGAAATGGAATGCAGTCTTGAAACTATTGCATGCTGTCCTAACCATAGGTGTTTAAGCTTATTTATTTCATTTCAAACTTCCAAAATCACACTTCTCCTGAGAGCCACCCACCAAGTGTATCTGTCACGAAGATCATGGAGAGTTTCCATGACAACACTGCTGTGCGCAGTACTGGTGGGGGCTACCACTAGTGTGTGAATGCTGTCTACGTGGCACAGCATTTGACACAACTGATGGTCGTACATTGTGTGGGGACCCTATGTAAGAACCGACCTTGATTCATTCAGATTCTCCCCATGTCCTCATTCAGTACACATCCTCATGATCTCATCACTTTATGAAAAAAAAAACCTGGCATTTTAATTATCTCTGTGTTGCTTCTACCATAAATTCCATGAATAAGAGACTATGCAATTTATATTCTATAGCCATCCTTCCACATTTGAAGTTTTGATTTTTGTGAATTTGTTTATCTATGGATTTTGCTCAAAATGTTTCACTAAGAATCTCTAAGTCTTCCAATGTGACTTTATGGTCAATTCCTTCCGTCATGCTGGAGGACCTAGAGATTTTATTTTAGACAGAACACCTTTCTAGGACCTCACAACCTCTGAGGATTCTTGCCATAGATGCAGGCAAAATGTTAGGAGAGAATGCTTCTAGAACATGGCTATATAGCCCGAAAAACCTACAATAACACAGCCTTTCTAGGAATCTCTAGGTACTCATGCAATTTAGTGATCAGCTTCCAGCAGAAGTTGAACATATAGTTGTGCTGGAAGAACTAGAAATTCCTAGGGAGATATTATCTCACATTAAAAATTATTTATTTATCTGTTTTTTCAGTATCATGGGGATCCTATGCCCCAACTTTAGGGAATGTGGAGAGTGGACTGTACTGCTTGAAAAAATAACTAAAAGACACAATAATATTGACCTCCCAGCACCCAGCCAATCCACTTAACTCTACATTTCTGATATTCGAAAACATTTAGGAATCTCATTGACTCAAATGCCAGTTTTAAAATATTAAGGATGTGAGAACAATAAATGAATGTTGGCTCTATGTTTGAAGAATCTCTTCCCCCACAGTTCTAAAAAGCCCAATTATCGCCCTTGCATCCATTAAAACACAATAATGTAAAGGCATACAAATTCCCAAAAATATAATTGGCACTTTGGGCAATTGTAAATGATACCTTTTCTTTTCTGGCAGTGAAGGCTGTTGGTGGTCTCTATTATGAAAGAAACGTTTCTGGAGCATCAGTGAGTTCTTCTGAGTCCGGTAGCAGATGGGAAGTGGCTAAAGAGTCTTGGCAGACTCTGGAAGACAGCTGGGTCCCACAGCTCAAATATGGTTCTGTGTAGTTCAGACTTTAAATATACACTGGCCCCCTGTGGGCTATGTGGTTACATCCATTTCTGCAAGTTCAACAGTTCCGTGTACTTGTAGTATAAAAAAGAAAAAACCCTCCAGGCAAAACCAATAGTTACTTAAAAGTGAAACGCTGCATGTGTCAGACAGTGCCCTAACACAGTGTGACTTTTCCCCCATGTAAGCTTGCAATGTGCATATCAATGCTAACAATATTTATCCATGCTGAAAAATATAATGAATATCAAGCAGCTTGTGCCTGAGACATGTGAAAAGAACACGATAATGACAAATCTTAAGTTAATTTTAATGTTCTCCCAGTATGGAACTCAATGTGTGGCTTATAGCAATGGGCATATGAAAGTTCCATGCAGTCATGCTGGCCACATGACCATGGAAGTGCCTATGGGCAATGCTGGCTCTTCGGCTTAGAAATGTAGATGAGCACTAACCACCGGAGTCGGACATGACTGGACTTAAAATGTCAGGGGAAAATCTTTTGCTTTACCTATATGAAAGTTCTCTGGGTACTTATTGGTGGAGGGGGGAATCTGCAGAGGTAAGACATGTGCAGCTTATCTTCTGTTTAATTCACCTTGGAAAGTTACTTTTTTTAATGTCACCTACCTGGCTATGTTGGATGAGGAATATGAAGGGCTGTATTCCAAAAAGTAATTTTCCCAAGCTCTAATTTTAAATCAGGCATATTACAAAGCTTCACTTACCAAGTATCATAGACTCATGGCATTGTACATTCTCCCCAGGCAGAAAAATGGATGTTTTGGTAACACAATGTTGACTAAACTTATTAGGATAGCAGTGGTGGTGGTGGTGAGAACTTGGCTCAGGAATGTTATTTTTGTTAGAGTCCCATGTTATACTGTGTAGCTCTGTCTGCTCTATTAGAAACATAACCATGAGAGGAGGAGACCCACTATCTCACATTCAATCTTTGCAGCTCAGACTAACTCTCCAGCATGCCATGATATAAAGCTAAGTAGCTTTCCATTTCTTCCTCTTTTTTTTCAGTGAACACTAAATAAACCTCCTTCAGGTTGGAACCTTTTAAAAGCCTCCAAGGCACATTCCCCTTATGCTCCTTTTAGGACTATGACCAGATAACTATGCAAAGCAGGAAGAGCACCTGACATTTTCTTCGTCAGATCCCTGGGGATGGATTATCACCAAAAGACTTTACCTTATAAGAGTAAAGAAGGTATCTTGGAAGTGCCACTGGGACTTGAACTCATGTCAGTCAAAATAAATAAAACCTTGACTCAGAGAAGCAGTACAACATCTCGGGAGCAGATCTTTTTATAAGGGATATGCTGTTACAGGAACTTCCCCTCCCGCAAGTTTGTTCCTTTAAGTAGACTGCATGAAATACATGCACATGGAGAAATAGAGACACTGCCAGGAGAAAGAGAGGCTGAGGGAGGCAGCTACAGAGAGAGCAAATGAGGGCATTGATCTTCCAATAACAATTCTGCCCTCTCCCATGAAACTTCCTTTCAGTTCCCAAATTTCAAGTATTCCAGAAAGTAAGAGTGAAAATGAGTCACTGCATTGTTAAGAAATTAAAAGATGAAAAGACAATTTCATTGGACAGAGGGGGAAGTGGTACTGGGGTGAGAAATGACCTCATTTTATGTTTGTGTGCATGCACACACATGATCACACCATACCTATAGTCCTGGGCTGTCATCCTTTCAATTTCAAATCTGTTATGTTTTTCAACAGAATCTGGATCCAGAAAATTCTATACAAGGAGCAGAAAAAAATGCTGCCATGAAGAAGGCTATGTTGAATTGTCCAAAGGAAGTGGTTCTCAACCTGTGGGTCTCCAGATGTTTTGGCCTTCAACTCCTCAAAATCCTAACAGCTGGTAAACTGGCTGCGATTTCTGGGAGTTGTAGGCCAAAACACCTAGGGACCCACAGGTTGAGAACCACTGGTCTATAGGGAAGCGTTTCAGTTTAGTAAAAGCTGTTTCATTTACCTCTTCTGGCCAAGTAAAATAGAACTAAAGGAGCAAAAAAACAGGACAACTATGGAACGGGCTTTTAGAGCTTACACTCATCCTTAATTTCTTGTGTTTTGAACTATGCATCATTCACTAAGTTTCCTTTAAGCTATTTTAATATAATTTCTCTGTAGGCTATCTATAGAGTTTATGACATGAGGCAGGAAAGTTGCAATTATAGCAGGAGAATGCAGTCTTTGCGTTGACTTATCACATAAAGTCACTCATTTCCCTCTAGGAAACAGCCTTCTTTTACAGACACAAATAGTCTGTTAATGGCCTACTTTTATAAAAGTAACCCCTTCCAATGGTCTCCCACTGACCGAGTGGTAGCAAAGAAGCAACATCATGCGAATAGGTCTGAAGCATAAACACTATATTCCTGCTTTAGTTGTGATAAAATTTTATATATATTAATCCAGTGCTTTTAATTTTTTCCACAAATGATCTGGATTTAGATGTGAGCAGCAAATTAGAAAATTAGTTCAAATTAGTTCAAATGTGCTAAGCTGTACAATAAAGGTAAAGCCAACTTGCCTCTCTTATAAATTGATAGCCAACCTGACCATGCATCTGTCTAGTTTACCATAAGAGCCATCTGAATTGGTAGGCATCTCTTGTAATAACAGATTCCACTTTGTAATCATGCCCATTGCAAAGAAGCACTCTTTCCTTTATTTGGCATTTATCACTATTCTGCTGGATGAGGTTAAATACTAGTATTAATAGAAACAGAGTACATTATTATTTTCTTTTTCCCAGTTCAGGACTGCAGCCGGCTTACTACAGATTACAACTTTCTCCATGCCACAGAGAATTTTATAAACCCTCATGAAATCCTCCTTTACTCATCCTTTATATAAATGAAGTAAGTCCAAATAGCTATGTGCATAGGGAGTTGCTACAACAACACTTATTTCTTCTCCTTTTTCTTTTCCAGCTCCGTTTGGCTTCTTTCGAGACAGAATATCCTGAAATTGGATTCATTGAGATTTTGCCTCTAACTTTATTACTTAGTTACTGTAAATAACAAAAATAATACTAAAGGGTTTAAAATATGATATTGTAATTGCAATTATGAGTTGGTTAAATATAATTGAATATTTTAGTTAGGAAATCATAAAAATGTTTAGCCTTATGGCGTTTGAGTAATTTAGTGCAATCTGGTAATGGAACATAGGAATGGAACAATGGACGACGAACCTGGACTACGCTTGGATGATGAGAAGATTGGGTACGGTTGTTTTTTGTAATAATTGTGCATTGTAATTGCTTATTGGTAATTTATGGATAATGTGTTAAGTCAATTGTTATATGTTGTATGGAACCACTGCTGTTTCTACTGTTTTTACTGTTTGTGAACCGCTGTGAGTCGCCTTCGGGCTTGAGATACAGCGGTATATAAGCAAAGTAAATAAATATCTATCTATCTATCTATCTATCTATCTATCTATCTATCTATAAGTCTATCTGTCAAAGTATTGTTCATGTTGGTTGGATGGTTTGCTGGTTTGTTCCACAAAGACTTCTACATGGCTTCATGATCTGACTCAAACTTCACATAGAGACGTTTAATTATCCATTATAAAATAATTGAGGGACAACAACAACAACAACAACAAACCACTTGTGGTCCCAGAGCAGAGGCAATGAAAATGATTGGCCATGGCTATGTGAAGTGGCCCTCTGTCATGTAAGTGGGAAATAGTGAAGTGGATTGGCTGTTGTTAGGTGATGTGCGTTTTGGGGGGGGGGGGAGAAGAAAAAGAAAGGGAAAGAGAACTGAAAGAAAGGGATGGAGGGAGAAAAAGAATGGGAAGAAAGGAAGAGAAAGGATAGGTCATTTATGAGAAGACTAAAACTGCACTAGTCTCAAAAGCCTCACTCTTTACACTTCTCCATGTGATCTTCTCTGCTTCAAGGTCTTTCACTGTTATTGAACCATAAGAACATTCTGTTTCTTATCCCACAATCATTAAGTTTATTCAGGAACTATTACTAAAGAAACTAGTCAAAACTTTTAAAACAGAAATGTGTTGATGAGTTAGAGCATTTAGAAGAGCTTACACAGGCAACCTCATGGGATATGTGGTTTGTGTGGCTGCCTAACAGAGGCCATGGCAAAAGAGTTACATACGAGTGCTTCCTTATTTGTTCTTCTCACAAGTCCAGCTTCTCTTACTGTGCCTTTGCAAACAGCTGCCCAGGCTCAGACAGTGAGCATGATAAAACATTCACAGAGTCGATTTGCTACATCATGAATGTAGTTCGGAACTGTATATAAGAACATTGAAGTGCTGTGTTGCTCATGGGAAGTGTCTCTGGGACTATAATACAATTTATATCCATCAAACCTCTCCAACCAAAATCCAGAAGTCATTTATTCTGAATTACCAGCAAAGCACTAAGAAATGCTATAGTGACAGGAAGTCTGATCTGTTGGTAAGGCTAAGTATTGGATTAGAGTTATTTAAATATGAGGTGAAACTGGCCCTGATGTTGTCTATTAGGGAAGTTCTGCCTCCCATGAAACCACTGAGCCAATCTGAGCGGCTTGGCTCTCCAAATAGGTAGCATGACTGCACAACACACCAGAAATGCTTGCGACATTTAGAAGAGATGGCTACAAGCCTTTCTCCCATTCTCTGTGATCCACAGGACACGTGTGGACACCTCAATAAGTTGAGAACCCAGTCACAATGACATGAAAAGCAGCTCGCTCCCATGGTTTCCTTCTTTCACAACTACATTGTAGGGCAGGCCTGGGCAAACTTGGGCCCTCCAAGTGTCTTGGAATTCAACTCCCACCATTCCTAACAGCCTCTTTTCTTTGCCCCTTTCTTTGCCTGAGGCTGTTAGGAATGGTGGGAGTTGAAGTTCAAGACACCTGGAGGGCCCAAATTTGCCCAGGCCTGTTGTAGGGACTGGTTTTTTTTTAACTGAGCAAACATCTAAGGCATTAAAAACATTATTTCAGTATGAATCCACTTGTATCCTTTAATGCAGAGGCGCAGAAGGTCTTATGATATACACAGTATCCGGTAGTTTAAAATGTAAAAACAATCCATCAGGAAAAAAGGCAAAAAAGTTACTTTTCAAGCTTAGTAAACATACATTACAGACTTCAGCAAGACATTTATCAAAGAGTTTCACACTGTACTTGGATCTAGTAGCAATTTTGCTGTTTGTAAATAGCAAATCGGACAATGATGTTTTTAAAATTTTGTAACAAATGGAGCTACTGATCTTATTTACAGTATAAATAGGCCTTTTTGGAGTGAAGACAACAATGTCCTGTCACATGTCGAAGAAAAGCAGCATCTTAGCTCTTAAACGCAAAATAAAGCAATATGAAAGTAAAACTATATATATTTATATATGTATAAATATATCTTCTACTTCGAAATTTCCAAGTGTTTCTTCCCTGGAATACATACGATTCTGGTTAGAGTTCTGTTGTTTTACATTATAACAAATGATTCTGAATCTTTATTCTTCAGCTGCTGCTCTCGAAAACTGTTTTTCATACAAGCTCATGACATGGTGGACGAACTGATACTGTTCAGAAGTTTGGATCATTCCACCTCTGGAAAGAGGAATAGAAGAAAAAGACTAGGAATCAATACCATTTCTGCATCTCTCGGGGACTCACAGAAATCATACACTGGATCATGTGATTTTAATGTTTTTTATTAGGTGTTTTTAATTGTTATACTTCATGTTTAAATGTCCTATTATCTTATGGAGAATTTGTCCTATTGCATTTTATGCTTAGTCATATGTTGTTTGATTTATGATTTGGTTTATGTATGTAAGGCATTGAATTTTGCCATTATTTTTGTAAACTGTTTTGATTTCCCCCCAGGGGTGAGAAAAGTGGTATATGAAAACTGTACATAAATAAATAAATAAAGCAGTAAAATAACTCCATACAATGAGACCAAACATAGACATCTAATGGTTTTAGGTGCACGAGTTTTTTTTTCTGAGAAAAGGCACTTTGGAATGAAATCTTGAACACATAGTATATAAGATCCATAGTTCTAGATGCTTCTGATGAAACAATCTTAACATGAAAATAAAACTATTGTGAATGAATCAGGAACAGACTAAAATCATCAGGAAAAAAAAACTTCATCTAGGATGTAGATTCAGTTTGGAAAATGTATGTTTAAGTTTGCAAACACAGACATAAAACAAAAATGGTTTTGAATGGAGGGCCCCCTCAAATCTATTTAAGACTGATACAACCATGGCACCGTCACATTTGGGGTGAACATTTTCAGTCTTTCTCTGTATATTTGTGAGTCTGTAATCATCCATTTTTAAATCGCCTTATACTTAGGAAGCAAGTTCATATGAAAGAAAGGCTTTAGTTAAAATCTTTTTTCCAGATGTGACAAGCCTCTTAAGTACAGATCATTTTGTTTTAATAATAATAATAATAATAATAATAATAATAATAACTTTATTTATAACCTGCCCTTTATTTATTTATTTGCAGTATTTGTATACCACCCTTCTCAACCTTGAAGAGTACTCTGGGTGGTTCACAGTGCTGGCAACAATTCAATGTCATCAATAAAAAGCAATATAAAACATCAAAATTGACCCTCCCCTGATAAAAACATTAAACATTATCATCTCCCCAAAGAGACTCAGGGTGGTTTAGTGTGAGAAAACACTGAAACAGAGGAAAGCTTAGTTGTCATCTGTAATGGTACAGTCTCAGTAGAAATGTAACTGCCTAATTATTTTCCATATGTACACTGATTTCTAGGGATTTTCCAGCTGTTGGCATCCTAGGTTACCGGAAGGGTGGGGAATTCTCCCCTGAGAAAGATGTTTTCCCCTTGGGCACCCTGTAGCCCTGTACCACTGCCACCGCATTTCATGTTAGCTTCAGAAAGGATCACTGTGGTCTTAAATTATCCTCTCTTAGCATAAATTATCCTATCTAGAGTAAAAAAAAAAAAAACCAAACCAAGCAGCATTTCCCAAGTCCTGCAGTCAGCTCTATTTGCAAATCTCTTTCAAATTATTTTGTTATTAATATAGCTTAAAATAAAAAATAATTAGGGACTATAAGCACAAAGCAAAATGGATGATTTCTGTGGTTATAATCATTTATGCCTGCACACCCTTTCTAAAAACAAACCAGAAATAGACCGCAACCTTACTGCGATGAAGGCAGACAAAACCCCAAATGGAAACAGCAGCACTTCTCTACCCACCTTGCAATGCCCTGGAATAAATACTGCTCATGTCTGTTGGCTAATCCTCCCAGAAGGCTCCTGCCCTTTGCCACTTCGTGAAGCTAATTAAAGCCTAAATAAAAGAGCCCCCACTTTTCTCCAAGTGACCGCTATCCCTTGCACACAAGCCATTCCTGACAAAGCAAGATCTGTGGGTCTTGTGTGCTTCCTCCCTATTTCTGTGGTGTAAAAAAAATGAATAAGGCATCAGGTGTAAATTTCTGTATCCTGAAAGTTGCACTTCTTAAGTTTGGCCAGTAACTACCAAGTGCAAATGTTCTATGGTCATTTATGATATTTTACCCTCAGATACATTTGTGTGATACCATCTCTGCTAAGCAATTCCATCTTGTTCTCTTGGGCTTGCTTTTGATCAGGGTTTATCTTAAGCCTTTTCCTTTGCTGCCTTGCTAGACATGTGGGGATGGAAGGCAAATTTGGCAATTCAGAAATCTTATTTTGGGGCACCCACATTTTGTCCCCTACCCCACCAATATCAGGGTAGGCAGATGGTCCATCATCATTTAATGTGTTGTTTTCTTGCTTGCATCTAGCAAGTATGCACAGAGCCACGTTTCCTTTTCCTTTCATTGCTTGAAGTGCATCTGCTGTGGGGGAAGGAGGGCAAAGACTCGTCTGGCTTCCATCTCTCAGCATCTTGGAGGTGGGGAATTGACAAGAATGTCTTCTTCAACTTCCCACTGAGCACAGTAATTGTTCCTCCCTAGGTTCACAGAGATGTTTACTTTTCCATGAAATACTGATTCTATCCATTAAAAATGTTAGATTGAAAGTATTGTTTCTTTTGAAAACAAGCAACTTCCTGCATTTGTGTTTCTCTATATACCCATAATTATTAATAAATAAAGTCCCTCTGCTTTACTTTATTTCATAAATTCAAAAATCCCATTGCCTATTTTCATACGCCACACCAAATTTCCACTTTGAAATCCTAGAAGATATAGTAATATGCATCCAGCAGAACGCTTACCCAGAAGCAGTCCCATTAAGTTAAGTGAGGCTTATTCTCTAATGTACTCCGGCCTGAAGCCATCATAAGAACTGAACTCACATGAGACAAACTGCATGGACTGAACAGCAATCCAGTACTATAACCCTGCCTTGTGGCTAGAAAGGAGTCTCACTGTAAGATCCAAACTCCATAGGGATAGTATGAGGACTGTACCTTTTTCCCCAGTGTTTAAGGATTTTTATTAAAGCAAGAATTTTATAATCCAAATTATGGTTCTTTGCTCAGCTATCAATCTTTACTGTTAACTACAACAGTAGTGATATTCTGAGCTTTTCCACAGTAAATTACAAAATTAAAGAAAGGAATGCTTTAAATTTTTGTACTGTGTTGAAAATTATTTCCCTCGGGTTTTATAAAACATTAATTTGTTTTTTTCAACTTTTGCTAATTTTTTGTATTTTAAATCAATAGGTAATCTAGGACTGTTTTGCTAGTCCTGGCATTTATTGTGTACATAAGCTTCAAAGTTTCCTTTCCTTTTTTAAAATGCATTTTTCCATGTTTTTCTTAATATTTAGTAGTTTTTCCATGTTTAGATTTTTTCTTCTTCGGTGAAGTGAAATTATAATAAGTAGTCCTGGGTGGATGTTAGACACTTGGAACACCTTGTTGTTAACTGCTTTTTGGGCAGCTTCTTTAGCTTGATGGGCTTGGAATACAGCTACAGCTTCATCAACCTTTGAAAGAAGAGATTCAGGAGACTCAAGGAGTTCGGAGTTATCAATCTCTAACAGCATACCAGTGATTTTGCCTGCTAGGGTAGGGTGCATGGCTTGAATCAGGAGGAACAGGCGTTCACCCAGCATCTGCTTTTGTTTTTGTGGAGGAGCAGAAGCCAACATGGAAGCAGTCAAAGTTCTTGGCCCTGAACATGGACAGCGGGCTGCTGCATAGCAGAATAGGACTGTATCTTTGTAATATACTGACTTTGCCCTTATTTCACATGTGTTTTTTCTAATTTTTGCTCCTTTGAAAGTGCAGACATGTATGGAGATTTCTTTCAACACAATTTCCAGCCTTCCTGGTACAGGTGAAATGCTACATATGACCACAAGATGGCAACACAGCTAGTACCGTGAGCCAGTAAAGGCACTGCATGCATGGCCTTTTCCAAAGAACTGAAGCTTGGGGCCATACTCTAATGTTTCAGCTGGAAGACAAAACTGCTTTTGCCTGTGAAATGTATCAGTACATCTGAAAAGTGTATTTTGTAGATATGTTTTAAATATGGTTTAAATACAGAGCACTGATGCACATTAAGAACTTTTTTGGTGAGTTTGTGGGAGTTTGTTTGGCCACTGCAGTTTAAAGCAAGTTTGAACTGCATTAAATTGTCTATGTAGATGTTTCCGAGTTGGAAGACACCACAAGAATCATCCACTCCAAGTCCTTGCCATGCAGGAATAATTAAAGTACTCCCAACATCTCTCATCCAATCACCTGATAAAGGCCTCCAGAGAAGAAGACTCCATCACACTCCAAAGCAGGATATTTCATTTACAAACAACTCTAAACATCAGGAAGTTCTTCTTAATGTTTAAGTGGAATCTCTTTATTTCAGTTTCAGTCCATTGCTCCATGTCCTAATCTCCAGGGCGGCAGAAAATAAGCTTGCCAACTCCTCAATGTGACATTTTTTCAAATATTTAAATGGCTATCATGTCCCTTTTCAGCCTTCTTTTCTCCAAGCTAAACATCTGCAGCTCTATAAGCTGCTCCTCATATGACTTGGCTCCTAAAACTTTGACCATTTTGCTTGAACATCACTGGACACAATCCAGTTTGTCAATATTTATCTTGAAATGTGGTGCTCAGAACTAGACATAGTGTTATTCCAGGTGAGATGTGTGGGATGCAGAATATAGTGATGAAAGCTGCCATTCTATTTCTCTGACCCTGCCCATGGGCCAGAAGGTAACCGTGACTTTCAAAGTAGTAGTGCATCAGCCTCTTGCAGCATAAAAAGAAGGAATGCAGAAGGAGAAAATGGAATGCAACACCATCTTTAATATTGTTTTTTATTTTTGCATGAGCTTGTTGGAGATAAGTGTTCTTCTTCAGATGCAATACATTTCTTCAGATACAGTATATTCATAAAGGCTCGTGCAAAAATAAAAACCAGTCAGTCTGAAAGATGATGCTATATTCTCTTTTTACCTCCTTCCCCTCCCTTTCTCTTTTCTCTTGAAGACACCAATTAGCAAAACAGGGTACATTTCACTGCATTCTGTGTCACATAACAGATGAAACAATGGTTTGCCCTTGCAAATTAGTATTTTTGAAATGATGTGTGTATGTGTGTGTGTGTGTGTGTGTATCATTTGTGAAGCCATTAAGTGGCAAAAATACATTTTAAAATCTGGTCTTAATCTTTTAAATCTGTCCCTTTACTTTTATCTTATATTAGTACTTCTGAAAATTTCCTTAGGAATACCCCTATTTTTCATTCTACTATCTCTGTGTATGCACCTTCAAATTGCCTATCAACTCATGGCAACCCTATGAATTTCATAACATTTTAATATAATAATAATAATAATAATAATAATAATAATAATAATAATTTGTATTCCACCTTATCCCCCCGGAGGGACTCAGGGCAGATTCCAAACATAAGAGGCAAACATTCAATGCCCAAACACAACGGTTTTATTAGGGAAGGAATACTCAGATGGTTTTAACAGTTGCTTCCTCTAAAATGTAGCCTATAGTATTGGTATTTGTTGGTGACTTCTCATCCAGGCTCTAATTTAGGATGACCCTGCTTAGCTTCTAAGATCAGATGGGATCTGGTGTTTATTACCATTGTCTAACAAAAAGCAAATGGAATAGAAATAATAAAATGAAAAATGAAATGAGTGTTACCAAGGATATAATTTCAAAAGACAAGGGTGTTTGTCTAGAAAGTGATGCTAACAAGGAAGCCTTATACTTGTGCACCGAGCATCCACCCTAACAGTGTCCATATAAATGATTTATCATGGTAACCCACATCTGTCCTATGGAGTCCAAACTTCTTCATGGGCTAAAAAGAGAGGAACCCTTATAACCTCTGGTTTTCCAGAGTTGTAACTGGCCTTGTCTCACAGAAAAAGGTTTCCTTACCTGTCTAGCCGTAGTTGGCAGGTTGTTCTGAGTATGTCAACCACACCTTCATTCTTCCACTGTTTGCAGCAAATACTGGTGGCAATGAAACAACCAGTCCTCCCAATCCCAGCACTGCCCAGAGAGAATAATAGAAAGTGAGCAGTGAAGGATCTTCAAAAAGTGCAGCAAAGCTCTGTCATTAATTCAAACAAACCATTGCCAAAGGTCTAGAGGCAAGAAAGCAACCTGGCTTTCTGAAAGAGAAAACAAATGCATTTCTTTACATTTATGTAGCAAAAATATGGAAACTAGAGTTAACCCTTTGGCTCAAGGTTATGTTTCCAGCATAACTTTTAATAATAAAAAAGATGTCCAGCCATATGATATGGAATGATTTGATTACATTGTCAGACAATTTCTTCTAGGCAGACACAAAACCAGAGTGTCATTAGCTATTTAGCCTGGCTGTGTATATTCTAAGAAACAAGTGGCAGTTAAGGAAAGTGGAAACAGATCTCTTGATCCTTCCAACAGGCTGGAAGACTCCTTTAGTCAGTATGTTCTTGCACATCATGATCTTGTTTTCCACGAACACTAACGTTCTGGTTTTCTTGATTCTTCTAGCTTCTTGTACATTTTTTTTATTTAGTCCTAAGACATCGAAAAGTGGGTGTGCTGGTTCTTCATTCCAGACTAGGTGAGTAACTGGACAACAATGATATCATAATAGTAATAGTTGATAAAGCTGTATGCATCCCACATTCTAGTAGCCAACTTGGCATAGTATTTGAGTGCTGCACTGTGATTTTGCAGAATAGTTTGAATCCCTGCTAGCATGAGAACCCACTTGGTGATCTTAGACAAGTTACATGTTCTTTAGGGGCTACCTACATGTTCTTTAGGGGCTACCTACATGTGTCAGAAACAACAATGCTGATCAGCACTGATCAGCACTGGCGAAGTCTGCACAGCCAACCGCCAAACTGGTTTGGTGGCTAGTGGAGAGTCCAGACTTTGTGGCACCAAGCTAATCTGACCACGGGGTGGTGTCTGTACAGCCTAGCAATGCCAGAACCAGTCCTTTGCTGCTACATTGCCATCCTTATCTTCCCCCTGTCTATCTGTCTTTAGTGGCAACTACCAACCACAAAACTGGTGGTGGTGCTTGCTTAATGCTTACAGCGATGCTAGCCTGCAGTGATACCATGTCCCAGCATTGAATATCCCGGCATTGAATGATTGCCATTTGTATGTTGTGCTATACCCTGAATCCCCTTCAGGGTGAGAAGGCTGGAATAGAAATGTTTTAAATGCATCCATAATTCCATCCAGAACAACAAAGTGATGAGAGGAGAGGGAGAAAGGAGGAAATGCTCCCTCCATTCCTCCCGTCCTTCTCCAATTGCTTTGTTATTCTGGATGGAATCACTGCCAAGTGACCACCACCACCAGTTTCACACATGGTGGTCATTGCTAAGACCAGATCGACAAGGGGAAGGTAAGTGCCACACCCTGCCCTTGGGCTTCTTGAGCCTGGGGAAAGTGGGAGGGTGGCATAAACAGCCACGTCTACTTCTGAATAGGAAGAGACACTACTGTTCCCACCATCACAAAGTCTGGTTTCAGGGAAGCTTTTTTTAACATGGAAGAAGGTCTTCTCTTGCATTAAGGCAAATGTGGATGCCAAGGAGCCCATTCGCCCTGCACCAGCTCATTTGGCCTGTGTAGATGGGCCCTTAGTTTCAGAAGACCCTATGGTAAGTTCTCACCTTTGGTGGTCAGCAATGACCTGACCACAGAGCCCGTGGTTCACTATAGTAAATTGAAAAGCAGTTTAATACATTGTTTCTTCCTATGCAGAATATGCTGTCCTCATTTATGTAAAATAATAAAACATTATTTGGACAAAGTTTTCTAAGCAACAGGCTTTACAATGAAAGATTACCACTCAAATTGGAGTAAAATGTTACAGGATACAAGGCCAGACAGACGTTAGGTGAGCCATCTGGCTTCTGTCAGGCCTGATATGTCAACATGTCATTTTGAATAACAGAAACAAGGAATAACAATTACTTCTTGGTTCAACGACTGTCCTCATTCTGCATGTCTCAAGTCGAACTGGTAGCATCTTGAATAAGATTCCATTCATCATTGCTTATTTCTATTTATTTATTAATCTTTTACCAAAGGCTTTTTTCCTTAGAGAAATAAGTGCTATCTATGTGTAGTAATTTCACCTAAATCTAAGGATGATTCTTCTTTTTAAAAACTCATCAGCCAGTAACACTTCATAAACATTATTTCTCATTTTAAGAGGAATTGGTGAATTATTAGGGTTAGTTTTGTATCATATTTAAATTTTGGAACAATTTTTTATTAAAGTTTTTAATGAAAAAAATGAAAACCAAAATATACCAATTTAGCGCATGCTCTGCAATGGAGAAATTTTAGTTTTGGGTCAATTTCTATGTGTATTTTCCAGGAATATTTTCCTCATGTAAACAGTACAAAGGCTACAGAACATTATTTCTCTGGTTGGAATGAAGATCCTGGGAGTGAGAAACAGGGGGATTATACAATCTGGGCATTCAGAGATCCAGATAAACAGCAATCTATTAATATAAATCTAAACCGACACTGTGATGATAAAGGAGAAATAGTGAATTCAAATCCAAACAGCATGTTTTAGGAAACTGGTTGTGCCATTCCAGACAAATACATTTTGAAATGAATCATGAGAAATCTTACACACGAATACTACCTAATGTATTCATGAAGCTTATTATATTTGCATTTGTAGTTTTATGTTTTTGGAAAAGTACATCTTTCTGATCAGCCCATATGCTTCTTGTGCAAGAACACTAGGTTTTAAAGTCCCTTGGTCTTGAGTAAAGATATGAATGTTAATTACACATAATCAACTTTGGTCTCTTTCTGTACTACACATTTCTGAAGATGTTTCCAGTGATCTGCATATTTATTTATTTATTTATTTATTGCATTTGTTGACCGCCGTTCTCAGCCCCTTAGGGCGACTCACGGCGGTGTACAACATATAAAAACAGTTTACAATACATATAATTAAACTAAATCATCCGCGTCGTCTCAACATAGAATCATAAGCCAATCTCATAGTCCATATTCCGTTCCAGTCGTCATTGCCAATTTTTTGTAGCACTTAGTTAAACGCCTTTTCGAATAGCCATGTTTTTAGGCTCTTACGGAATGCCATAAGTGAGGGCGCCTGTCTGATGTCAACAGGGAGGGTGCTCCATAGCCGGGGGGCCACCACTGAGAAGGCCCTATCTCTCGTCCCCGCCAGACGTGCCTGTGAGGCAGGCGGGATCGAGAGAAGGGCCTCCCCAGATGATCTCAAGGCCCTCGTGGGCTCATAGGCCGAGATGCGGTCAGAAAGGTATTTTGGGCCGGAACCGTTTAGGGCTTTGTAGGCCAACACCAGCACCTTAAATTGGGCCCGGTAGCAAATTGGCAGCCAGTGGAGCTGGAACAACAAGGGCGTTGTGTGCTCCCTGCGTCCTGCTCCTGTTAGTAGCATGGCAGCCGCGCGCTGGACTAGCTGAAGCTTCCGGGCCGTCTTCAAGGGCAGCCCCACGTAGAGAGCGTTGCAGTAGTCAAGTCGGGATGTGATCAGAGCGTGTACCACCGTGGCCAAGTCAGACATCCCGAGGTACGGGCGCAGCTGGCGCACGAGCCGAAGCTGTGCAAATGCTCCCCTGGTCACCGCTGAAACCTGGGGATCCAGGCTCAACGATGAATCCAGGATCACACCCAAGCTGCGAACCTGCGCCTTCAAGGGGAGTGCGACCCCATCCAGCACAGGCTGTAACCCTATACCCTGTTCGGCCTTGCGACTGACCAGGAGTACCTCTGTCTTGTCTGGATTCAGTTTCAATATGTTCGCCCTCATCCAAATAGTCACAGCAGCCAAGCAACGGTTCTGGACCTGAACGGCCTCCTTAGTAGCAGGTGGGAAGGAGTGACAGAGTTGGACATCATCTGCGTACAGATGACACCGCACCCCGAAACTCCGGATGATCTCACCCAGCGGCTTCATGTAGATATTAAACAGCATGGGGGACAGTATAGAGCCCTGTGGAACCCCACAGGTCAACGGCTGTGGTGTCGAACAGGTGTCCCCCAATAACACCTTCTGGGTGCGACCCTCCAGAAATGACCGGAGCCACTGCAAAACAGTGCCCCCAAGACCCATTTCCGCAAGGCGCCCCAGAAGGATACCGTGGTCGACGGTATCGAAGGCCGCTGAGAGGTCCAGGAGCACCAACAGGGACACACTCCCCCTGTCTAGCTCCCGGGGCAGATCATCCACTAAGGCGACCAAGACCGTCTCGGTACCATGTCCCGGTCTGAAACCAGACTGTGCCGGATCCAGATAATCCGTGTCTCTCAAGAATACCTGGAGTTGTGAGGCCACCACGCTTTCCATGACTTTGCCCAAGAAGGGGAGATTGGAAACAGGCCGAAAGTTGTCAAATTTAGTGGGGTCCAGTGATGGTTTCTTCAACAGCGGTTTTATAATAGCTTGTTTTAAGCTCGCTGGAATCTTGCCTTCCCGAAGGGAGGCATTAACCACCACCGTTACCCACTCAGCCAATCCCCCTCTGGCCTCCTTCAGAAGCCAGGATGGGCAGGGGTCTAGGATGGACGTGGTGGGCCTCATTCCTCCAAGTATCTTGTCCACATCCTCGGGTTTCACAAACTGAAAGAATCCATCAAAATAGGACAAGCAGGTGCTCGAGTCACATCCACAGAGACTGCATTTAATCGTGGCGTCCAGCCCAGAACGGATCAAAGCGACTTTGTCTGCAAAGAACCGAGCAAATGCTTCGCAGCGCGTGGCCGAATTGTCAGGGCTCCCGCCAGGAGTGGTGGGATTTAAAAGGCCTCTGACAATCCGAAACAACTCAGCCGGACGGTTCTTTGCAGACGCAATAGTGGCCGCAAAGAAAGTTTTCTTTGCGGCTTTTATTGCCGCGGCATATGCCCTTAAAAAGGACACAAACCGTGTTCGATTTGACTCGCTCGGATCCGAACGCCACACGCTCTCTAGTTCCCTCTTCCTTCGCTTCATCACTGCCAGCTCCTCAGTAAACCAAGGAGCTGGTTTAGCTCGGCTACTTGAGAGGGGACGTTCCGGAGCGATCATGTCAATTGCCCTGGCCATCTCCCCATTCCAGAGAGCGACCAAGGCCTCGACATGGTCACCTACCAAGGTGGTGGGAAAATCCCCAAGAGCCGTCAGGAATCCATTCGGATCCATAAGCCTCCTGGGGCGGACCATCTTAGTGGGTCCTCCACCTTTGCAGAGGTTAGGGGGCGCAGTGAGCCTAAATCTGATCAGGAAGTGGTCGGTCCATGGCAACGGAGAGATGGATAACTCCTCCACACCGCCACCCTGCTCCCATCCCTGGCAGAAAACCAAGTCCAATGTATGTCCAGCACAGTGGGTGGGGCCAGATATTTGTTGGGACAGCCCCATGGTTGCCATGGCGGACATGAAGTCCTGAGCCGCTCCTGTGAGGGTCGCCTCGGCATGGATGTTGAAGTCTCCCAGCACAAGAAGCCGTTGAGACTCCAACGCCAGGCTCGAGACTACCTCAGCTAGCTCAGGTAGGGAGACTGTAGTGCAGCGAGGTGGACGGTACACTAACAAAATCCCTATTCTGTCCCGGTCACCCACCCTCAGGTGGACACATTCAAAATTTGTGGTCTGCGGGATGGGACTCCTGGTCAGATGGATGGAATCTCTATAGACCACTGCGACCCCGCCTCCCCGTCCTCCGGATCTCGGTTGGTGCTGTACGGAGAAACCTGGAGGACAAAGCTGGGTGAGATTCACGCCTCCAGCTTCATCCAACCAGGTCTCCGTGATGCACGCCAGATCTGCCCGCTCATCCAGGATTAGATCCTGGATATAGGTCGTTTTTCCGTTGACAGATCTGGCGTTCAACAGCACCACCTCCAATCCGGAGGGCCCGCCAGCCTGGTTACACCAAATTACCTTAGGAGACCGGTTTGGGGTTATTAATGTAGATAAGCGGTCCGAATTAGGCCGAATTTGGGGTCTCCTTTTTCCGCATCTCCTCCTCCCCACCACGACCTCTATGGGAGCCCCCCGGCCAATGGAACACCTCCCCTCCTCCATGCCGCAGTCCAGAACCAAGGTCTTATTTTCTGTTTCACTAGTTGGCTGGTTTGTTGGCGTTTTTTCTTGCCAGCTCCCTTGAATCCCTTCCTCCCCCCTCCCCACCTCGTTGTTGTCCACAGGCTCCAGCCCACTTCCTCCCTTGCCCCTTCCACTAGTTACCAATATCAAGGACAATACAAATAGGGGAATGGGGAACCACATGGGTAATAATAGTACACTTCAATAAGATTGAAAATGACAAAGCGTCTCAGCCGCGATAGTTCGATAGTTCATAAAGTGCAAGCGTCTTAAAGTGCAACACAGTAGGCGTCACCGCTGCGTGCCACTAGGGCAATTCAAAAAGTGCAAGATCTTAAGGTGCGATAAATACCCAAATCTGGTCCTCAGCGCTATATAAAGTGCGGCATGGAGGGATAGGGGAAGGGAGCGTAAGTGCTAATACGTTTTAGCAGCAAAAGAGGCAGGCGCCTTAGACCTCAGTTGTCTTAGTTGCTACTGTCAATGAACAAGAATGGTCAATATTAACTTTAGAGGGTTTTTAAACAAAATTACCTTCATGTCATTTCTTTGTTTACACAAGTAATTGCTATGGTGACCATCCAATTGCCTTAGAAGGTATTCTTCCATTAATATTGTGTTTCTTAACAGAAACTGTGTTTTAGTCAAATAAAACTAATTTTATTGAAATAAAGCAATTTTTAAAATACAGTTTTTATTATGTTATTGTGTGAGTAAGGTACATTTCCAAGAACACCTTATTTGATTATCTGGTTATAATCAAATATCAGGAGGGCGCATGTCCAAATAATTGTCCAGGTACAGAGTTGCCCTGTCATGGTTCCTCATGAAATTTTATTCAGGCACTGAAGCACAAAACTAGAAGCAGGAAATATTTCTTAATAAGGAATAGAAGTGCATCATGCAGGGCTACATTTGCACCTCTGGTGCTCCTCAACCACCCCTTTAATGGCAAAATAGGATTAATTCTCTCTCCTGAGAGTCATCAGTGGCACTTTCACACTATCAAAATATAGCACTATTATATCATTTTAACTGCCAGGACAACATTCTGAGGAATTGTGAGGTTTGTCGTTTGGTGGGGAACTTGATAATTCAAAATGGCCTCCTTAAACTATGGGAGGTTCCCGTGGCAATTGAAGTGGAAACACAGCACTATAACTGTATAGTGTGATTGGGTCCTAGGACTCTCCCGCACTGTTTAACAATCTCCACTCTTCAAATTGGAGCTTTTGGTTGCATACAATTTTGAGCTTTTTTCTGTTTGGGAGGGCATTCTTGGCAGTCCCTGTAGTCCAAGGTGGAAAACTAGACTTGCAAATGTTGTCCACCCTGATGTTTAAATGATTTAAAAACACAAGACAATAGACAATTTGAGGAAGGGAGAATCCCATGAAAAAGCTATGTATTCTCTGTCACCAATGAAGAAATGTTTCTTGAAGGAAATGTTAGTGGAGAGTGGCAACTACCCAAACATCTCTTTTTCTTTCCTCTATGGTGTTTCAAATATAGATAAAATGAATCTACCTGCAGTGAACTATGATAGGACCACTCTTCGCTTCTGTGCACTGCATGGCCTCTTCCACCTCCTGAACCAGCTGCAACAGGGGAGGGGCCTGATCAGGCGTCTTCTGGTCTGGCCATGACGTATACCAGTAGTGTTTCAAAACTCTTGTTTCTTCATCTTTCTGTTAAAACATTTAGGAAAAATGGTTGTTGTTGTTGTTGCTACTATTTATACCCTACTTTATCTCCCTCAAAGGGGACTTAAAGCAGCTTAATATAAAAGCATCAGCATAACCATTTAAAATATACAAATAAATATGAACTGTATTTTAAAAATTCCCAGTTAGAATCATTAAAACAAATTCAAAGTTAAAAACCACAGCACCTCCTGAATTGATCTTATAAATTTTCTTCTTTAAATGCCTGTCTAAATAAAAATATTTTAGCATGCCACCAGAAGGACAGCAGGGAAGGAACCATTCTGGCTTCCCTGGGCAAGGGACCATGGTATCCTCCTGGGTCATCTTGCTGGGATGGGACTGGGAGGCATTGTCTTACAGTGGCTCCTGTCCTTCCTGGAGGGCTGTACCCAGAAGGTGGTGCTGGGAGACTCTGGCTGTTGACCTGTGGGGTTCCTCAGGGTTACTTTTTGTTCCCCCATGCTGTTTAACATATACATGAAACTGCTAGGAGAGGTCATCTGGATTTTTGGAGTACCGTGTATATGTATGCAGATGACACGCAGCTATGAAACTTCCTCCTAAGGGACCCCCCCCCCCTCATACACACACACACCACCACCACTATGTACTATTATTTGATGGCTGGCAAAGACCTTTTTATTTAAACGGGACTTCAACCTTTGACTGAGTGGAGCAAAATGATGTTAAATGTTTGTGATGTATTTTAAATATATAAAGTATGTTGGAAGTGTTTTAAGTGTTTCAAATTAATGTTTTGATTGAGTTGGTTTTTTAATGCTTTTTAAACATCTAAACCACATATTTTCTTAGCTACACTTGAGCATTCCCTATTCAAAAGGCTTGGAACCAAAAGTATTCCAAGTTTTTTGGAGAGGGAATTTTGGAATACAGTCACTTTTTGGAATAAGCTGGTGTCTTATTCATTTGTGATTTTTATTGTGCATGAGACATGAGGCTAGGGAAAAGATGAGGATCTATGAAATTGTGGCAAACACAAAAAATTTGCTATCAGCTGACAGGATCAGATCTGAGAGGCAAACCAGGAGAAATGCAACAGCCATCTTTGAAATGCAACAGACAGAAGTGGGCAGCTTGGGGCGGGGGGCATATTTTTGGAGGTTTTCAGATCTCTGGATAAGAGAGACACAAGCTGTATTTTGTTTTAACTTGTATTGCAAGCTGCTTTGGCTTCTATGCTAGGAGAAAGGCAGGTTATAAATTACCTGCTCTGGAGCATATCTTTTGCACTGGGATTATAAACTGTGCTATTATTAAATGCCATCAAGTCAACTTCAACTAATGCTGACCCTATGAATGAAAGACCTCCAAGTCACTTTATTCTCAACAGCCTGTTTAGGTAATGCAGATTCAGGACTGTAGTTTCCCAGATTGAGTCTGTCGATCTGAAATGTGGTCTTTCTCTTTTCCTACTATCTTCTGCCTTGCAAGCTTTATTGTCCTTTCTAGTAAGTAATGTCTTCTTATGAGATGTCCAAAGTATAGGTCTCTGTTTACCCACCTTGTCTTTCAGGGAGAGCTCATGTTTGATTTGCACTAGGACACAGTTATTTGTCCTTTTAGCAATGCATAATACCCACAGAACATTTTGAATGAATTGATCTTACTACGAGCTTTCTTCACTGTCCAGCTTTGACAAACATATACAGAAACTGGAAAGATGATGGCAATCTAACACTACTCAGTGATATATCTTTACATGTCAGTCTCTTGTCTAGTTCTTTCATAGATGCATTTCCAAGTCATAGTCTTCTGATTTTATGACTGCAGTCTCCATTCTGATTAATGAGCTATTTCAATGTCTTCAATATCTACTTTAAATCAAACTTGCAACTGTGCTTTCATTCTTGACTTTCAAACTGCTCGGAAATCCTTTTACTCTGAGGGATGAACTGCTCTGCGGAAAGCATGGGGAGGTAGGTGGAGTAGAGGTGACACCATGGTCCCCTTTGGCCCATCCAGACAGGCCTTTAGCCCAAGACCTGTCTCAGTTTTATCAGTGGTGTCCAAATGACCCCTCCGGTAAAACCGAATTAATTTGGGAAAAGCAGGTAAACCCTGCTTTGTCCCAAATAAATTAGATGACTAGTAAGACCCAGATCTTTGATAAGATCCCAATCCACACAGCCATCTTGGGTTTTTTTGGGCTCCATGAGCCCAGAAAACCAAGAGGGCACCCACCCTCTTCCCCAAACCCCCAAAATAAATCCTTAAAAATTAAAACAGCTAACCCACTTGCCATTAAAGTACTGCTGGAGTTCTCCTGGCATGTAGAAATGATGTGCCAGGAGAGGGGGAGGAGCAAGGAGCTCATTTCTATGTCCCAGGAGAACTCCAACATTACTTTAATGGTGGCCAGGTAAATTATTTATTTTTAAGGGCCTATTTTGGGGGGCTCCTCAGTGTCCAGGTGCTCTCCCAGAAGTTACCAGGAGGGCATCTAGACACCCCCATCAGGGAAAGTGCAAATTTTCGGGGGAGGTGTGGTGACTTAAACCTGTGCTGATGTGGGTTCCTTAAACCAGCTTTGGTGCACGTTTAAGTAAAGTTTGGAAACACCCTTCTACACTGCAATATAAAATTCAGGTTATGTGCTTTGAACTGGATTATCTGGCAGTGTGGACACATATAATCCAGTTCAAAACAAATAACGTGGATTATCTGCTTTGATAATCTAGATTATATGGCAGTGTATAAGAGTCCTAAGATTGCCTAGACCCCAATCCCAGGAATCCACAGGGTGGAGCCATGATAGATAAGGTGATATCAAAGTGCAATCGCTTTGACGTGTGAAAGAGAAATTAATTACAGTATAAAAGCTTTACTGAAAGGACAACAAGACCATGTTTTGGGACATGACTGCTGGGGAGGAAAATGTTAACTTCCTCTAAATTCCCTCCCCACCCCCAAAGATTTAGGAAAATAATTCCTCTCCCCATTACAACTAGCATTTTAAAAGGCCTAATCAAACCGCACACTACCATATTGTCATAGTAGCCTTTATAAACATTTTAAATGTCATGCCTCATGCTGGTGTTTGGCTAAACGAAGAGCTGTGTTCAAGATAAAACTGTATTCTTAATAACACTGGCTTCACATGCTGAAAGAAATTGTATTTATATCCTGATAGACAGATAGCTATTTCTAATTGCATATACCACATGTCACCCTCTGTGAAAGCAGAAGGCAGAAGGCTTACTTTTAAAAAAGAAATCCCTCCTGAATCAACAAATATGTTGCTCAGTTTTCAGGCAAGCTCATTATTTCTGCTAGCTTTACTTTATGGTTGTCTAGTTTTGTGCCTGATTGGAGCTATAATCATTGGAATATTTATTTCAAACTCCCCCGCCCCCAAACTCTAACATCATTTTAATGAATTCTTATAAAAAATGCCAATTCTTGATTAATAAATGGGTTATCAGATTTTAAGTAATTGAAGAAGGAAATAAAGGTTAATGAGTTGTACCAAGTCTGACATTGCAACTGACTTTCTGAACTAAGCTTCTGAATTAGAGATACTTATTCGGTTCTTTGAAATAGAAATGAAATACCGGTATTAAAAACTCACTTCCAACTTCTCTAAAATGTTCAGAGTCATTTCTTCTATCCCCAGACTTACTATCTTTTAAATATTGCAGGTAATGAATCACATGAAGTTTGTAACATGTCTAAGCAAAGAAATATTCTCTTCTGCACAAGAGAAGGAATAGCCACAGCACTAACAAGGGATACCATCATGGGTTACATTGGCTTGTATACCCTGTTTAGAGGACCGGTTTTGGTCAAAGGTGTAAAGTATAATAATGGATTCTTTTTCAATGAAACAGCTTTTTTTTTGTCGTGTCAGGAGCAAGTCGCTTCTGGTGTGAGAGAATTGGCCGTCTGTAAGGACGTTGCCCAGGGGATGCCTGGATGATTTGATGTTTTTATCATCTTTGTGGGAGGCTTCTCTCATGTCCCCGCATGAAGAGCTGGAGCTGATAGAGGGAGCTCATCCGCCTCTCCCCGGATTTGAACCTGCGACCTGTCGGTCTTCAGTCCTGCTGGCACAGGGGTTTAACCCACTGCGCCACCGGGGGCTCCCTCAGAGGTTGCTTGCCACAGATGCAGGCAAAACGTCAGGAGAGAATGCTTCTAGAAGATGGCCATACAGCCCAAAAAATCTACAACAAGACAGCGATTCCAGCCATGAAAGCCTTCGACAATACAGTTGATCAATTGTTGTTTTAAAAAAAGCAACACTATCTATCTGAATCAGTGCATTAAGAAAATTCACTTTGGTGAACATGTTTATGAAAAAAACAACTTCAGGGGTGCATGCTTTTGGTGTTATTGTAGTATTCATTTGCTGCCCCTAATATAGTGGTTCCCAACCTTGGTCCTCCAAGTGTTTTGGACTTCAGCACCCATAATTCCTAACAGCTGGTAAAATGGCTGTGATTACTGGGACCTGAAGTCCAAAACAACTGAAGGACCAAAGGTTGGGTACCACTGAATGTTATCTTCTGTGTGTTGGTTGTTGTGCTGCTTCAATAATCAGCTTAATAGGCTCAGCCGTATCACTCATTTGTGACAGATGAGTATCAAACTGAAACCTAGACAACCTGCTATGTCGAACCTGAAAGAACATGGGAATACTGTTGACACTGGGATAATATGATACAAACAGCACTATAATCTCCAAACTGATATATATTTAAGAATACTTTAAGGCTTGATCTTATAAAATAAAATAAAACTTCACTGAGCAAACACACTGTAACAAATGACCAGTAAGCACTTGTGGGGAATGACTCACAGGGCACTTCCGATGCATGAGCACATTTCTTTTACAAATAGCTGGAAAGTCTCCAGATTGTGCATACTCCATCAAAAATGCCTGACTGCTTATATTTTTTATTGCTTACCTGATAGGAAACTAGACAGAAGTATTATCAATGCAGTCATAAAAAGTTATTGTTTCAGCTGTCTTGACAGGATGGATAAAAAAGCACAACCCTGGATAGGATTTTTCATGCTGTTCCACATCCCACTTGAGTGATCTTACCTTGAGGGTAATAAGCCTTAACCGGTAATCATCTGCTTGTATGACTTGGTTAACTGTGATTTCAATTCCTTCATAAGTAACCTGATCTTCTGGCCAGTATTCTGTACATTTCTGAGAAAAACAAAAACCACAGAAATATTATGATGGTCATTTTGCTACTGCATTATTTCAAAGCAACATGAGATAAACTGATATAATAGTAAATACAGTTTGCAGAATCCAAATGAAACAGAGATGGAAAACATGAAGGTCTCCAAAAGCTCTATCTGGCCTTTAATTCCTGTTCCTAGTACTCATCTACTCAACAACCAGTAGCAGGAAGGCCTGAAGAAAAGCTTCAGAATTGGGGTTAGGTTCTAGGATTGGCTTCCCTTCCCCTGGATGTTTAGAATTTGGGAGTCATAAGAAGGACCTTGAACTTGACCTCAAAGCAAACTGGTAACCAGTGATATGAGTGAAGAATCAGTGTAGTGAGATCTACCATCCATTTCTCAGAACATGGAAGTGTTTAGAATAGGGAAGAGGCACATTGTGTTGGACATCAAATTCCCTCAGTCCCACTACCATTGCCAGTTATTTATTCATCCCTGAAGTAGAAGCTGGATAGCTATAACATACCGTTTCTCCAAGAAAGTATGCAGCTATGTCATAAACCAAATGTGGCAGAAGGTCTTCTTAACCACTGCTAAGCACCCAGAAGGATCATCAAGTTGTAAGCATATTGTTTTAAGAGAAGCACAACGCTCCCCATAAGAAGCTGGTGCTCATCTTATTTTTCTGCTTCTGAGCTAAGCTTTTTTTCAATACCCATCATCCCACCCATAACTTCTATCAGTTCAGAACCAGTTTCACCCTGATCCTTTGTACTTTTTGCTTCTCTTAATTCCAGGGAAAGGAATTTGTTATTGAACTACAGGGCCCATCAGACCTAGCCAACATAGCCAATGATGAAAGATATAAGCTGTTATTACTTTCTAACACCTTGACGTGAACTCCAACTTCCCAACGTATGGTACCACTACAAAATATTTTTATTGATAAGTTTATTCAGAGGAGGTTTGCCAGTATTCCTCTGAGACTGAGAGTCTTGCTTGCCCAGCATCACCAGCAGGCTTCCATGGCTGAGTAGGGATTTGGACCCTGGTTTCTCAGAGTCTTAGTCCAACACACAGACCACTACACCATTCTGCCTCTTTCTAAGAGAAACAGCCTTTCTAATTCAGCAGTCTAGAACAGCCTCCTAAAAATGTTAAGCCTGGCTTACTCATTTGTTTTGATGAGTTTTCCCAGAATACTGCTTTCAATAAAATATTCACTGCTGCTAGTTTTCAACTTTGTTGCATATTTGTGTGTTGCTGTCGTCATCATTGTTATGTGCCTTCAGTTGTTTCTGATTTATGGCAACCCAGTCATAGAATTTTCTGGGGCTGAGAGTATATGACTCACCCAAATTTTGTTCTCCAAAGTTGCAATGCAATACATAATGCTACCTTTACACTACCTAATTATGATTTTACTGTTGTCTGACTGACAGAAAGTAAACTGAAAGAGGCTCTTAAGCTGCATAGTTTGATTTTAACATGTCATGCAGTTTGACTTTCTGATCTAAATCCAATGGTTAATCCCAATTGGTGTATGCCAAACGATTCAGTGAAATTTATGAAAATGATGATTTACCAACTTCCCATTGTTTTCATGGCTTCATTCTAGTTGGGTCCAACAATTTGAAAGAAATCCTAATATTTTCTATCTACAATATGGAGGATACAGCACCACTCCCTAATTAACACTCAACATTAGAACTGACTTGCTTACTGCACTTTTTCCACTTTCCATAGACTTTCCTATATGCCCCATACCTATGAACAATGAAGATCATCTCATAGTCTCCCTGCTTGTGGTCCATATCAAGGGATATTTCCAAGTGGGGTCGGAGACACTGTCAGTATGATGGCTCCTGCATACCAGTGTTGGAAGTCACCTTGTGCCCCATACTGGAGTGGTGTGTGTGCATGTGAAAATTAATCTTGGCCTCTAGCATGCATTAAAGAAACATAGGCTAAACAAAATTCAGCTGAAAAACATTGCATTTGAAACAGCCAAATTTTCCTCAGGCACAACCTTTGTTGCCTCTCCAAATCAATGTTGCATCGCCAATTTCCACTATCTGGAAAATGGGTCACTTCTATTTCCAGTGTCAAATATTTACAGTTCTGTGCCTCCCTGCCCACCCAGCAGCCCCTGCGACAAGAGCATCTATCCATTTGGAAAAAAAAAAAACCTTGTCAAATGTGCTAGTAGCTAACTATAGCTCAGACTCCAAGCAGCAGAAAACGAAGTAAGAACACCCACACATTTCCGTGGGCTGTCTGTCAGTTCAGATTACACTCTTGACAAGAGTATGAGAATACTGTGCCACTAATCTTTGCATTATTACAGTTAATGTATAATAATAATAATAATAATAATAATAATAATAATAATAATAATACTTTATATTCTGCCTTATCTCCCCGAGGGGACTCAGGTCGGGAACACAAAACCCTTTTTTCTAACATTACTGCAGAACAAAAGTTTCAGTCTGCACTGGCACATTTTAAGACATGGTGTTCATATATTAATTTGAAGCAGAGTGGAAAAAAGAGGAACATCGGGATAAGACTGATAGTCAGAAGGAGAGTTTGTAGTCTATATTTGGACCCAAGTCTCATGGCACATTTTGATTTTTGAAATGGATGGTATCAATGAAAAGATAGGCTCAAATAAAATCTTGTTAACACAGAAACCGACTCAATCTACTAGACGTTTGTGCATTTATGAATGACTTCTAACTAAATGGGTGCTTCAACGAAAGTGGATATAGGGGCATGCCTCTCTGAGTGTGCAGCATGCAACATCTCAGTCTCCTTGGTAACATATAAGAAGTGCTGCAGATACAAGCTGTGATATAGAGATTGGAAAAGCAACGGTAGCTGACCACAACGTATTAGGATCTCTTAGCAGAATAAGAAATGATTTACAGGGCTTACCCAGATTATTAAATCAAAGAATGGCACTTAGCTTTTGTAAGGCAATCCCTACAGATCCACTTCAAAAACCATAGTGCAAAATGCCCATGGCTTGAGTGGAAAGGTGAGCAAGTGGAGGCCCCACTGTGGTACACTAGCAGCCTCCCTCCTCGCCCATGATCTAGGGGTCAGTGCCATATTTGTGCCTATTGAATACAGCTGCTTCTTTATTTCCTGGAAACGTACAAAATGTACCATTAGCTTGAGTAGCAATGCACTTTTTTGTCGTGTCAGGAGCGACTTGAGAAACTGCAAGTCGCTTCTGGTGTGAGAGAATTGGCCATCTGCAAGGATGTTGCCCAGGGGACGCCCGGATGATTTGATGTTTTTATCATCCTTGTGGGAGGCTTATCTCAGGTCCCTGCATGAGGAGCTGGAGCTGATAGAGGGAGCTCATCCGCCTCTCCCTGGATTCGAACCTGTGACCTGTCTGTCTTCAGTCCTGCTGGCACAGGGGTTTAACCCATTGCACCACCGGGGGCTCCAGCAATGCACTAAGGGATGGCAATTGGCCTCCAATTGCTGAAAAGCAAAACAGGAGTGGGAGAAAATTGTCATTTTAGCACCTTTATTGAGTGGGGACTGAAGGTGACATTGGGTCATCATCATCCTCTGAATAGTTATCTTTTGTTTATTGACCATAGAGGTGATACAACGATGTTCTCAATGGCATTAACCCTTACAGTTAGAATACTAGCAGGTTAGGAATCCCACTCTCTTAAACACCAAATTAAGTGCCAAGATGATGCAGTATCCTTAGTCCAATAAGCACATTGCCTTTAGGACTACTGTTTACTTCCCATATTAGCTGAGTACAAAATGCATATTACAGAATTACCTCATTCATCTCTTCAATATTGGTAATCATGACAATAATTGGAGAATGCTCCTGCCATACCATCCTCCAGAAATCACTGACAGTATTAACTATGGGTCCCTGAGTAGCAATGTACACCTTCTCTTCTCCTCCATAGCCCTGCCAATAGAGAAATAAGGGTTAATTAGTGCTAGATTACACATGTACCTCGGTCTATGTCATTGATGGCTGGTATATAAGAAGTTTTGCACATGTTCTCTTTCTCAGTCATAAATAAAATAAATAAACGCACATGTTTTCTTTCCCACTCATATACCAAGTTAGGTATAAGTCAAGGACAGAAGGCACAACATATACAGGAAGCAATGGTTCCTATGGCAATGGGAACAATTTATGCAATGCAAGACATATGGTTAAACCAAGCCTGATTCTACTAGGCTTAATCTATAGTCTTGTGAAGGACAATTATAAGTAATGTGAGGAGAAATCAGAAGCCTCAATTTTTAGTGGGGAAGTGGAAAATTCTTGTTCTTTGTTCTGTCAAGATGTCAAATTTCTAGGTACAAAACCTTCTGAAGACTCGATGAATTCCAACAGTTTCTGGCCTTCAGAATAATCTAAAATGTCTTTTAAGTCTCTGTATTTCAAGAGTTGGTGTATGGATGTGAGTTGGATGGGTGATCTGTGATTTCTGCAACTATACACAGATAGCAGAAGCCCATCCAAGAGCCTGCAAGGGAAAAAAATACTTTGGTCTTACCCTGATGTAGTTGGCATTGATGTAAGAGCTCAGGGGATCATCTTGATCATCTGAGGTAAGGCACACTCTGCTGTGGGAATCTGGAAAGCACAAACCAATAGTGAGGACTTGTGTGTAGTAGGGATTTACAGTCACTATCTCTTATAGGTGTACAGATGTCCAGAACCGGGGGTGGTGGTGGGGTGAGAGATAACAAGTTAGAGAAAAGTACAACTTTAATAAGAAGCTCTATGATATTATCCATAAGGTATCCAAGGTTTTGAATTTAAGAACATAAAAGTGATCTTAATGGTTAAACCTCAAACCCATCTAATCTGTCATTCTGTTTCTAACAAGGACCATTCTGGTGTCCCAGGGAAGCACACTGTCATTTATTAGCATGTGCTCAGAGTTCATATTACAGTATTCCATCTAGGAGCTATGAGCTATGAGAGGTCTGCCTTGAATGGATTTGTTCTAATCCCTTTTTAAAGCCACTAAAGACAACAGTGATCACCATATCCTGTAACAGTGAATGAATCATTGGGGGGGGGGGGGGACACTGCTGCAATGCTGGGAAAGCAGGCTCTCCAGTACCTATGACTATATTTCATGGCATTAACTTCATTTCTAGGTTTTTCTCCTCTTTTCACTGGTTACTGAGAACTAATTAAATGCAGTGACCAATTTGGGGGTGGGGGGAAGCTGGGCCATCAAAGACATAACAATGGATTTTATAATCCTTGGCTTCTTCAGCACTGGAAGATTTGGTTCAACTTGGGGAAGCTCCAGAAGAAAATGTGGTGAAAGCCAGGATGGATTTGCCGTTCCAGCAGAGGCAGACAGATGGTATCAATGCAAAAGCAGAGGTGTTCCCTGGCAATCCATTCTGGTAGCAATAGTATATAAAGTGGTGGCACATGGACCACTGCCAGTCAATAAGCATACAGTGCTTATGCTTCTCATTCTGAGACTGAGGTTGGCTTATAAATGTTAAAATGGATACAGCTTTTAAAAATTCATATAATACAAAAGGCTAAAATATAATTAAATCAGAAATAGAACCAAAAGAATTTAAAGACACCGCTGTTAAAAAGAAAGCAATATGTTGGCTGTACATGCCAGATTTCCAGTAGTAACCAATGTGTACAAATACAATGCAAATCACTGCAATGTTGGGGGGGGGGGGATTCTGCTGATCCTCATACAGATTGCTTAAGATGCACTGCAAAATACCCTTCTAGAGTTTTAAAACAAGGAAGGAAGAGGAAGAGAAAAAGAGACAATTGTGGCAGCACCTTTAAAAATAATTATTTGATTATTATTTTTTGCATTAGCTTTTTGTGGACATAAGCCACTTCTTCAAATACATTACCAAGCAGTATTAGGGCCTCAGCCATGAAACATATTTATACATTTGTGAGACTGGTTTTGGAGTACTGCTATTTCTAATGACAGATTTGTGTCCATTAATTCTCTTGCATTGGCTATCCAGTTTGTCCAGTGTGGAGTGTAGAGGGGCATTGATGGCACAGAATGACATATAGCACATTGAAGGAAGAGGGAATAAATGTATATCTTATGTTGTTGTAATATTGCTTCCAAGTTGATGTGGAGACATAGTTGGCATCTGGTATGTGGCAGGGTCTTGTCCCTGCGTTGTTTTCCATTTTATGTATCCTGTTGTCAGTGAGAAATTGTTTAAAACTGGAGCAAATAAAGGTCTGACTGTGAGAGCATGTAAGAGGGCAGTGTTATTCTCCAGAATTTGTTGTAGCTCATTGATTAAGCGTTTGAGTGGTTTCAGACAGAGACTGTACGTGACAACTAGGGATATTATTTCATGTCATGCTTTTGGTCTGCATTGTAGTAGATGGTTGCTTGGTATTAATTTTTTCTTGTCAATTTGTTTCTTAACCTCCTTAGATGAATATTGTGACTGGAGAGATTCCTGTTGTAAATTTAAGGGTTTTTAGTATTATGCTTTGGCAGATGTGGGATGGCTGTAAACAGGCCCGTAGTCAGGATTTTGATTCGGGGGGGGGGGGGCTGAGTTTGATTCAGGGGGGTGAGTCTGAGTGAAAGAGGGTCTACCCTAGCAAACCTTTTGTATCGTTACCCCAATACCCCCATGCATATGGGATATATTGAGCTGGTGATCAGATCATGATATGAATAAACATAACAGTTTAAATAATGTACCACTAAGGCCTTTTTGCGGACCACCGTGAGAATTTCGGGGGGGGGGGGCAGGATATAAACAATGTTATTTTGTTTTGGGTGGAAACTAGAGGCACGTAAGTATGTGTAGCAATCAGTGAGATTTCAATAAAGCATAGTGCCTAGATGTCTGTTGTGTAGCTGCACAGTGGTGTCAAGGAAGTGAAGTTGTTGTATAGTCTGTTCCAGGCTCAGGCTGATGACAGAGTGGAAATAGCTGAAATGCTGGGAAGCTGACTTTTGATAAGCAAATTTATTACTTTCACCCATCAACATGAACTGACCGCTGTAAAGATCTGAAACACCTATATCATGCAGCCCCTTGAAAATTTAGGGAAAGGATCATGATTTGCATCTTTTAAGATTCCATTGCATTCTATCCTAGTTCCACAACGCTTTATGCCTGATGCCCTAATACAACTTAGTGCTGCATATGAAGAAGAGAGTTTACATCCATGAAAGCTCATATGAAAATTAAAAACCATTTTGTCTTAAAGATGCTGCCATATTTCCCCCCCCCTCCCTTTTTTTCTCCTTTTAATGCTGCAAAACACTACTTCTTTGAATATTAGAGTTTGGTGTTAATAAGCAACGTAGTCTAGAAGATTCAGACATTCTAGTAGCAACCATCTTCATCTGGTTGCTGCTTTTTAAAAATAAATAAATAAACAAATAGCAAGCAAAAAGTTTGTTCCAAATATATCACCTCTTAAAAAATTATTCACAGTAAATATGTAAATTTGAAAAAGTCATTTCCTACCAACAAGATACAAATTAGTGGAATTTAAAAATAATTATCATTTTCCATCACTAATTGCAATTACCTGTAGAGATGTAAAAACTGATAATTGTTAAGTGTTTGTTTACTTTTCACCTCTAATTGGAGTGAACATCCGTTTTAGACAATCGTTAATGTTTTAATGCCCCCAAGTTGCAAAGGAACACAATTTGCTTTGTAGGCAGCTTTTGTAATCCAGTATTTTCTGTTCTAGAGATTATGAAGGTCCAACATGAAAACAATTTTGGGTAAGTGATATAGGTAAAACAGATCATTCTTTTAAAGCCATATCTTTTTCTTCTATACACATTATATATCTATATCTATCTATGCACATAATAAAAGTGAAAATGTGTGTATGTGTCGGAGGGGTCCACCTACACAGACAGCCTCCTGCCTCCACAAACAGGCCATAGTTCCAAGTGCTGAGAAGCCTCCAAAGGCACTCCCTCAACTGACATTGCAGGTTATAGTGAGCGCCGTGAACATGTAGCCCAACCTTTGCCAATGTCCTCCCCAAACACCAACCATCCAAGGAATGTTTTCATTCAGGGACCATTTAATCGTAGATATTCTATTTTTCTCGAGAATGGACATCCCAGGGTTCCTTTCTCTCTCCAATTTGCATGACCATGCCCACTGCCTCTCACTTAACCCTTTCCAACCTATTCCTATGGCACACAGCAAACAGGAATTCATCAGCAACTGAACAAGAAGTTTGGGAAGAGTTCACCATGATTTAGAGCAGTGGTTCTCAACCTGGGGTCCCCAGATGTTTTTGGCCTTCAACTCTCAGAAATCCTAACAGCTGGTAAACTGGCTGGGATTTCTGGGAGTTATAGGCCAAAACACCTGGGGACACACAGGTTGAGAACCACTGATTTAGAGGATTTGTAGTTTACCTACATCCAGAGCGCACTATGAACCCAAACAATGACAGATCTGGACCAAACTTGGCATGCATGTTCAATATACGCTAATTTGAGTATTGGTGGGTTTTGAGGGGAATTGGCCTTGACATTTTGGAGTTGTAGGTACTGGGATTTATAGTTCACTTGCAATCAATGAGCACTCTGAACTCCACCAAATATGGAATTGGACCAGACTTGGCACATAGAACCCCGATGATCAGCAAAAAATACTGGAGGTCTTTGGGGAAAATTAACTTTGCTTTGGGGAGTTGTAGTTCACCTACATCCAGAGAGCACTGTGAACTCAAACATTGATGGATCTGGACCAAACTTGGCACACAGACCTGATATACTGAAATTTGATTACTGGGATTTGCGAGGCAGTGTTTCTCAAACTGTGCTCCTCCGGATGTTTTGGACTTCCACTCCCTCAATTCCTAACAGCTGGTAAGATGGCTGTGATTTCTGGTAGTCCAAAACATCTTGAGGAGCAGAGTTTGAGAAAGACTGTGCTGAAGTACCACACCATATTTCCATGTAAGATTTGCCAACCATCTTTTATTGAAACCTTTAGGAAACACAAGAATATGAAGCTGATGTCTCAAGCCAAAACCCATGCTGAGTCTCATTTTGTAGACAAACATAAGTTCAATATATAAACAATAAAATGTGTACGAAAGAACTATGATTTCAAAATTCTTTAAGAAATCTCATCTTGAAGAATGGCTTCAATAAGGATGTGGTACTTACTTGGGAGGATTGTTTTGTAGCGATTCTTTCGGACCAAACCAGGAATATCATATTCCTTTGGATCAATAAAATTCATTGGAATTTCCTGTTGAAGGATACATGGCAGAAACCATCAGTAGATTCCCAAGGGAATTCCAAGGGAATTTCTACAAAACCATTAGAAGATTCTTAATCCCATTGTATCTTGAATGGAAAGTAATAGCAGCAATTTAAAAAAAGCTCAAAGACATAGGGCATTTCTGGTCACATTTTAAGCTTTAAAAGGATATAATTGTTTCACTTTCTTTGTGGGTGTGCTTCACTTTGGAAATCAGATTGAGTTGTGTTCAAAGTGGTATGGCAACTACTAAGTGCATACTGGCAGAGCGTGGCTTGAATCAACACAGTAAAATCCCCAGACCCCCTTGAGTGGCCCTCAAAGCCGCCTGAACTTCAACAATTCTAAAAATAAATAAATCCTAATTTCATTTTCAGGCAATTTTTCTCCCAGAAATGATCCCAAATGTAAGATAGCTACTTCCAAATGCAGCAGATTTGTTTCCCTACCACACCCCAGGCGTGTTTTTTTTTGTTGTTTTTTTTGGCTGAGAGTCAATTGAAAATAGTGACTGAATATTACTTCAAGTGTGACATAATGTATCAGTGCAATTAATGGGAAGACATAGTAAGGGAAACTGGTTCTTGTCCCTGAGTACCTGCTATTCACTCCTTTCACATTCTGCTTTAGAGAGGAACATTGCTGTGTTATAATTGGCCGGATCTACTAATTAACACATCAACTAGAAAAATACATTTCATAAGCAGGAAGGAACTACAAATAACGGCTTTCCATCTATGCAATGCACAGAAATCCAGGCCATAATAAAAATAAAGTTTACAAACTCATGTTTGAAAATGGGATGGTCAAAATACTCACAAAAAACTCTGTCTGGAGTACAAAAGAATCTAATGCTTTCTCATGTAATTCTTCCTCAGTGAGAACTTTTGATGCTGTCTGGAGGTATTCTCGGGCTGACTCCTCCCTTGGAGACATGATATAGCCAAAACCTTGCTCAGTACACCCTGGAGTACACATGTCCAGTGTGAGTGAAACATTGGAGCCTCTCCTGCACAAGACGGCAAGATATACAGGCATTCATTAATGATTGTGATACCAGAAGTGCTTGGAAGGTTTGGTCATGCCAACTGAGCAATTCTGCTAATGTAATAATTTAAAAAATAATTTTTCTGATTTCTGGAGTAGGACTTATTTGATTCTCAGTTTTAATTATTTGAGTCACAATATAAATCACCAGTGAAAAAGATTTTATTCAAGTTTTTTTAGTAGAAGCACTTTGGGTTTTTAAAAAAATTAACTGACATATTTTCAGAGATGCACTTTTCACTATATGTTGTATTAGCTGTTCCCTGCCATGCATTGCTGTGGCCTAGTCTGTGTATATGTGTTTTCTGTGTGTATATATGTGTATATGTTTGTGTGTATATTTGTGTATATGTGTATATGTGGTTATGCGCATGCGTTGTAATGTAATTTTTTATTAATTTTGGGGGATTTTTAAGTCTCTTCCACAGTGTTTTTACAAGTGATGGTCACTCGTTGGCCAGATAGGTGTACTGTGTTCAAATTTGGTGTCAATTCACCCAGTGGTTTTTGAGTTATGTTAATACCACAAATGAACATTATATTTTTATTTATGTAGATATGCATTTGGGCAATTATTTTGTATTGTTTGTGGATCAGTTTTCAATTTATAATATAGTCAATCCTCCACTTTTGAGGGTTTCACACTCGTAGTTTTTATTATTTGCGAGTTTGAAATTTGCTGCCTCCCAAAGTTGGGGCGGCCATGTGAAGAAGTGCTGCGGTTTTTAACTCTGAATATGCTTTGATCAATTTTAACTGTGATTTTTTTTAGTGATGTTTGTGTTTAATTCTGTTTTAATGTTTGAATATTTGTATATTTTAAATTGTATACTAATGCTTTTATGTCAAGCTGTTTTGAGTCCCCTTTGGGAGAGATAAAGCGGGGTATAAATAAATATAGAATGGGTCAGATCAGGTTATTTCTCATTTCCATAAACTGTTAACATATTTTTAGTTTTGAGGATGATATTTTTGCCTTGGTCTCTTTTCTTATAACTCATTATTTTAAGAACATTTTGAATTTGTATTTAATTCAAAAATGCAATTTAAATTTAAAATGATTTTTTTAATTCACTAAGTTGTAAAAACTCTATCCTGCACTGAAACAAGTTAACATTAGCTGATGACTTTTCTTGTCTACTTTATGCAAAGTTTACAAATAAGCTGTTGCCCAGACATTGTGCCTGGAATCCATTTTATCTAAATTTTATGTAAAAGGAAAATTCAAGATGCATTGTATTTTTTTCTCCTGCTGAGAATTCTGAAATAATAGATAGCTTAAGTTACCATGACAGGGAAGTACATTCACAAAAATGAAAGTATAAATATGATTAGCATAAAAAGCATAACACAATTTGCTCATCTTAGCTGTATTACCTTTTCTACGGTCCCATCAGGCATCAAGACCACTGCATTCAAAATATGTACTTGCTTATTATGCTTATGAGGCCAGATTATTATGTGAGCTTACTGAACACAATTTCATTTCTACATTAAAAGCTTTGAATACCATAGAATCACTCTGGATGACCTAGAAAATGTCTAGAGAAGTGTTCATTCCAGGTCTCCAGCACAATTCTATGGTCAACTTCCTATGGAACTTCAGCAGAAAGCTGACCATCGAATCACACTAGTGGCCTAAAGAGAACATTTCTTTAGGCATTTTCTAAGTTCTTCAAAGAGATCCTATGCTATGCTTTTGATGGAAGCCCAAAACACCATTCATTCCAGGTAAGAAAAGTAGGGTCCCAGATTACATGAAGTGTCCCAGACCGGACCCTTAGCTTCGTACAAAGGTCTACTTTACTTCAATAAACCTTGCCTTGAGGTATAACCAAATGTAAGAATCGCAGTCCACATGTTTTTTTTAAACTGACAGCCCTATGACCATATTTGTCTTGAACATCAAAGACATGGCATTTTGGAAAGGGGTATTTTAATGCCCTCCCGTGCCCAAAAGGAAATCAGTCCTTTTCAGCAGGTGGGGGGGGGGGGGAGGCAGGAAAGTCTCTGACCGACTATTCCTTTGGAAAGTAGAATAACTCAGTGAATGGGGAGAAAGGAGAAATATTGGCACCAAAAAAAGGAGCACGAGGAAAATGCTAAACATCTCTTCTGAGCACAACACATTTTCACAGCAGCCCTCAAGGTTTATTAATTATCAAAACAAGAACCATACAGTGTGCTGATTTTTATGTCTGGTTAGGAGAGCCTGGAAAGGTTCCCTTTTTCAGACTGCAGCTCCCAGAATCTCGTGCTGGAAATTAGATTTCAGGAATTGTAGTTCAAAGAAGCAACTTTTCAATTTTCTGCTTACTAGATCCTATGCATCAATGATAATTCTGATCCCTTATATTTCCAGAATGGGTGATTTTTGTTCAAATTCTCTAAATTCCAACATTTTAAAGACAAACACAAAGGACCTTCCTTTTCAGGATTCTTTTGAAGAACATTCTAGAAGACTTCAGGGGAGGTTGAAGTAAGAGCAAAGTAGCTAATTCTTCTTTTTTAAAAAGGATATAGATAAATGGATGGGTGGATAGACAGTAAGACAAATAGATAGATATTATTATTATTATTATTATTATTATTATTATTACTATTATTATTGTTATAGTCTGTTGAATGAATTACATTAGTCCTCTCAGAAACGCCCACCATCTGGCCACCAATTTCTTTACACTGCTTCATACAATAGCCTACCTTTCTTGCAGTCCCACAGATTTAACAGTTAGAGTTATTGGATCTGTTTCCACTTTCATGTCCATTACACAGTCAAAAACGGGTGTCTCCGGCACCGGGTCCAGATCAAGGAAATCATCCTCATTTTTGTCCTCTGTCCATTCAGAGTATGTGAATGAAGGCTGGCGGCTTACCGATTGCCGTCTGTCCTCTTTAAGGGGAAATGGGGGATCTGGAGGTGGATTCACAAGATACCAGACCTATGGGGATAGGGAGAAATAGATGCAGCATTAGATGTTTTCCAGATAAAAAGCTAAAAGTAGCTATTTTGAAAGCCCATTTGCCCATTTTGGTGATCAATGCATTCATTATACCTCTGCATAATAAAACTGAATGAAAAGGAACAGGAAAATGCTCTATAATGCTTTCTATAATGCACAAGAGGAACGGCTATTATATTTTTGCACTGAGGCAAATGGTTTTATGGAAGCTGCTAGGCGTAGCCGCTGAACACAGGCAACCTGTCCCATGCTTGGAAAATCTGTATAGATGCCAAGGTGAAATCCCTTTTTCCTTTGTAATAGAGTGTCACCAAGTGCTCACTGACAGCAAGCTGTGATCACAAAGTCACAAAAAGTCACAAGCTGTGACTACTTCTGGATCCTGGATACAATTGATAGCTTTTCCCATCAGAGAGTTTTTGGCCATGTGAAAGAGCAACCACTGCCTGCTGACAGTACTCAATCTTCCTCTCCTTTCACCTATGGTAATTAGGGGTTTTTATTTTTAAAATGCTGTTTTAAATATCTTCGCAAATATTCCTTTTGAAAGGTGATAATACAGCAATGGCACACTGTGCAAAGTAATGCTATAATGAAATCATTTTCAACTTCCTTAGAATTACAGTAGGCCCTACACCTTTACAGGGGTTAGGGGAATAGGATCCCTGAGAAACTAAAAAAAAACAGTAAACAAAAACCCCAACTATTTTGCACATTCAGAATCTGCAGAAAACCCTTGCTCCATTCTTGGGAATCATGGAAACTTCAGAAAGAGTGTTTACCAGTGAGGGAAAACATTACATATAAGTGGTTTCCTCCACCAATAGATACTGCTAAGAAGGACTCCTGTTTCCAATTCTTCATGGAGCCACAACTTCCTACCTTCACTTTTTAAGTAATGCATTAGACCACAATCATGAAGTACCAGTTTGAGCTCAGAAAACCATTAGCTTGGTCTTCCCATCCCTCACAAGGGATGACGATAGCAATGCTTTACTTTGCCAATGGAAGAAAGAACAAGTAACATAACAGTAAATGGAGATTACAATTAAATTACCGTTGGAGGATTCAGCAATTAACATACTGCTTAGGTTGGCAAACACAATCTGCTCTCTTGAAGGCATCCAAAGAATTGAGAAATGAGAGAGAGCAGGGTGCTACAGAAGTTGGTCTGCTCTCCAGCTATACTGGCCGAATCCATGACGGCACATGTAGGACTTCCAGAATACTGTATTAAATATTATTCAGATTTAAGCTTCTAAATGCACACTCCAGTGTAATTTAATCCCCTTTGGGGATAAAGCTCAAGCCTGTTTTGATTCAGTGAAGAGTATGCACAATTTAAATGCTTGCTAAAGGGGTTCTTCTTTTAAAAGCAGTATGTCATTCTCTCCTCCCTGGCAGAAGGCCAGTGCTTCACTTTCCCATGTGCTCCAAAAGGGTATTCAAACCAGCAGTTTTTCCATATGATTTGCTACAGAGAAAGACACAAGTCATTTTCAGTTTCTATAGGATTCCATTATCTCTTACTGTTGGAACTCAGCTTTCTGTTATTTGTAGACAAAAGTACTATTGCAATTCTTGACTAGAGAAGACGGATTCTTTAGACATGTTTGAAGACAGTTAAATCTAATATACCTGTTGAATCAATTGGAGTTATGCAAGCATTGGTTTATCAAGTGCTCAAACTGTAGCCCTCCAGCTGTTTGGGTCTCCAACTCCCAGAATTCCTGACCATTGAACAAGCTGGCTTGGGCTTCTGGGAGTTGGAGGCACAAACAGAAGAAGGGCCACAGTCCGAGGATACTTGGGTTAAATCAACAGGACTTAATAAACCAATACTAACTCCAGTTGATTCAATAGGTATTCTATTAATATCTAGATTTAACCCTGTCCAAACATATAAAAAAAACCTCAGTAAAATACTTTACCCATTTAAAACAATAACAAAACTTGTTCATAATTTAAGATTTATTTTACTGAAAATTCGGACCACTTGCCCAACTTACTTGGATCAGGAGGTTAGAAAGATTTTTTTGGATTCTGGGTATATGTGTGCATGGTTCTGGCAGAAAGCAAGGCAAAAGGATCATTTTTCCTTCTCGTCATCTCCAAAATCTGAATGTATAGTACTAAAGGGGCTAGTTATCTGCCTAATAAACTAACATTATATAGTAGAAGGAGGTTCCTGAATACTGAGAAAGACAAAGTGTCACTTTCCCCTATCTTTTATTTTTAAAGAATTAATGGCATACATTAATTTTCGCAGGCGCAACTGCTCCCTGCTTCTAAATTAAACATACTTTCAAAATTGCATTGATCAGCTCCCCTCAATATTCTATAGATATTCTGGAAATCACTGAATGTGGGACCATGTCAGGCCTTGCTCCCTATTTTTTCCTTTTTTCGAAACACAATTTCTGAGTACACAAGGATGCTGCCACCCACAGCTGTTTTTATATTCATAGAACAGCCATTCAGGAACAACCCATTCCTATGGGGGAGTGTAATCTCAATTAAGAATTGTTTTATCACAGGAACAATTCTAATGATCCAATCTCCTGTAGCTTTTGCTAACTAGGTATTTTGATAACCTGGTTGACCAAGTGCATTTACATAAAATGAATGAATTCACAACAATGTGTTAACACCGCAGCACACCAATAATCACACAGGGGAAAACAGCTTCCTTGATAATGTTGTTTCTTTGCATTTATTCAAATGGAGTTGGGGAGCTCTGCAGGAAAAATCTCTAGGTCTAATCACTAGGGGAACTTCACAGTGGGCTTGTTGCTCTATAGCTTCAGTTAGCTTTTTGTACAAGAAACCTGGATTTTATATAGCTCACTGTCAATTTAGTACTCTGTCTTTTTCACTTTAATGTGCGCTACTCCACCACACTCTGAAAGCATATTATTTGACCACACAATGCATCCGGCTAAGAAATGCCTAACAACAAGCAAGGCAATTACACATTAAAACTAATCTCACTACCCACACCCGTATTCTTATTGACAGAGGTATTAACGTTCATTACCATACTTGGTGAATTACTTTTAAATACACTTTCTGCTAAAGAAAATCTTACAATTGTCTAGTGTCCCAAACTGAACCTAACCACAATGTATACCTAACAATGGTTATTTGGTGCTTATTACAATGCAGGTATACCTCACGGTAGATTTCTTATAGATATAGAAAAGAGCAGTTCAGTATGCTTCAGCACATTTTTATCCAATTATATTAAGTAAATAACTATCTAGAGGCTACTGGAAAGCTTCTTCCAAAAGGCCTCCATGATGATGTTCTTTTTCACCAGCTTCCATTTTTCTTATGATTCATCTTGGTGATCAGTCCCACAGATCTGTGCTTTTTTAACATTCTGGGGAGTGATGGTGATCACACATGTTTTATTGATCACACATATTCAGTAAGGGACTTTGGAGTCCATGACTGCTTGCCTTCCCTGTTGTAAGCAGATACACACAGCCGCAATAGGACCAGATAGTGTAAATTCCTACTCTTTCCCAACTAAAGCTTTATTTTATTGTTTACTTCAGAAACACAGCTGCTATACAACACTGAAATTCTATCTTTCTCTGTCAATGTCGATGCTGTTAAAAAAGGTTCAGGATGAAAAGGGTGGTTTTGATGGTCATAAAAATACTTTGTAAATAGGAATTAATTTGTCAGAGTCTTTGTTTTGCCTGTGTTAGTTACTATTCATCATCAAATATACCAATCCAACATTCTGAGAGTATTTTGCAGGTGTCAACGTACTAAAGCAAATAAGTAGTATTGAATGGTATTGAATGCATCCAGGATATTAGCTTACCAATATTCCTATGAGCAGCAAACCAAAGGAAATCAAAGATAGCAGGAAGTAGGACATTGTGAGGCCTCCATCTCTGATCAGATCCTGAGGAATAATAGAAGCACACAATTAATTCTGGAGGATCTAAAAGAGAGAGGTTGAGAAAATAGTCACTGCCTTTAATTTTTTTTAAATTGAAAACAAAATAACATCATATTTGAACAGATAATAAATGTGTAATGTAGGCTTACATTATGACAAAATATTTCTACATTCTTTACAGATTTGTTCATTTTACATTTTTTTAAAATTTTTTCCTTCAACCTCCTCCCACCACTCTGCCCTATCCCTCCCACCACTTTTCTCTCTATAACTATATCTTTATTTTTAAACCACAAATACAACCTTTTTAATCTTTGTACAATATCTGTGCTGGATTCATCTTCTTCTGCTCATTTCATATAAATTGCCCATTTCTCTTTAATTTCTTCTGTTTTGTCCTCCTGTGAACCTTTTTGGGTTATACATGCAATAATATCTGGTTGGACTTGCTCAAATAAATAGTTATTTCAATTTTCCAGATTCCATTTTTTTTCATCTCTCTATCCCCAGGATATTACCGCTTTCCTGCTAAAATCGTTGCTTTAAATAAGTCTTGGTTCTTCGCAGCAATGTTTTTATTCCCTGTAATTGCCATTAACATGAATTCCATATTGACGTGGATTGTTATTTTGAAAAGTTTCCCCATTTTTAAAAATTATCTTATCCCAAAAAGTTGTTGCATTTAAACAGTTCCACCACATATGTGAATAAAGTAAAGCCTTCCTCTCCTTTACAATGCCAACACATTGGGCTTAGTCCTGTTCCCATATTTGCTAGTTGAGCTGGGGTCCTGTACCATTTCCAGATACATTTCCTTTCTAATTCTTATACTTTTCCATTTTAATTTTCTTGACCCTCTTCTTTTAAAAAAAATAGCCACTGCTATGTAATTCCTTTCAGTTTTAAAATTATAATAGGTAACCCGTTGGCCAGAAACAAAGAACTGTAGTTATAATCAAACTGATCAAACCTGATGAGTAAATGTTGACATTCAAATATGGGTTCCAGTCCAAATTTGAAATTGCTGAATTCACTGGCTATTTTTTTAATTCACATCCTGAACCAAAAGGTTAGTTCAAAAGTACTCCCTTCAGTTTCACACTTCCTTTTGTGAAGTAGTCTAAGGTTCTACCACATTTAAATCTCCACCAAGAGTTGGGGTTCTCAGAGGTGAATGACAGGAGATTACAGACAGATAAAAGACAGTACAATCTATTGTCGAAAGCTTTCATGGCCGGAATCACTGGATTGTTGTAGGTTTTTTCAGGCTATATGGCCATGTTCTAGAGACATTCTCTCCTGACGTTTTGCCTGCATCTATGGCAAGCATCCTCAGAGGTAGTGAGGTCCTCAAAGGTTGCTTGCCATAGATGCAGGCGAAACGTCAGGAGAGAATGCCTCTAGACCATGGCCACATAGCCCAAAAAAACCTACAACAACCCAAAGTACAATCATCAGTTTGCATTTGCAGTTTTGACTTTTGATTATTCAGATTTGAATAAAAATGCTTTCTCCAGGAATCTCAAGGCCGATATCTACGGTGACCATTTAATGCAATTTGAAGATAGTTTCAAAGTATGGTGGAGAGACAACAAACACTCAAGAAAGGGTGTGAAAGAAAACTCTTAATTCACATCAGTGGTTTGGGCCTCAAACTAGTCTCATAATTTCCTAGGTAATCATCTGTACTGCAATAATCTGGCCCCTAATACCAGAGAATGTGGAGAGCTGACTTAACTTCTTTTAGTATCTAGAATTGTGGCCTAGAATTGTGGAACTCATTCTCATAAACAACCAAGTTGGACAAGTTTAAAGGGGGACTGTACAAATTCATGGCGGATGAGTAGATCAGTGGTTCTCAACGTGTGGGTCCCCAGGTGTTTTGGCCTACAACTCCCAGAAATCCCAGTCAGTTTACTAGCTGTTGGAATTTCTGGGAATTGAAGGCAAAACATCTGGGGTCCCACAGGCTGAGAACCACTGGAGTAGATCGTGATCTCTGCATATTATCTTCACTTTCATATGGTTCTAAGGAACATGAGCAAGGAGGCACTATAGCATGCTCACACCCTATTTATCAGCTTCCTAAATGCTTGTTATTAATCCCTCTCACCTAAGAAGACTCTTTTTACATTCTGATTGAGTTAAGGCTTGTTCATTTCATATCTTAACACAAGAACATTCAGTTGTCCTCAACAGTTGTAATTTTAAAATATAGAATGGTAAACTAATTAACAACACAGAGGCATGGCCTTGTATAAACATGCTTCCAGTTGTGATGTTGTTCCTATAAGCAAATGGATTATTTTCTGAAGAACAGATTAAATCATATTAAAAAATCATAACTGAGGAAAAAATGATTTGGACTAACTCATTTCAAATAGCATACAGATGTAGATAGCCTGACTGCCTCCTTCAACAGAAGGAACTTTTGATTAAGCTTAATGCATCTAGTTGAAAAGATCACATTAAAGATTTTTTTTCCTCATAGAAAATGAGAAAATGGGTTGCAGGATTTTCTTTTAGAATGAATTATTTATAAAAAATTACACAGCATGTAGACTTTTAGAAGTCATGGTCTAATACTCTAAGGGTACCAGATTCTGTCTGATCTTGGAAGCTAAACAGATCATTATTTGGATGGAAGACCTCCAATGAAAACCAAATTCCGTAAGCTATATTTCAAAGGAAGGAACTGGCAAAACCACCTCTGAATAGAATTAACTTAGAGTTGTGGCCTTAAATGTACATGATCTATAGGCAGAATTCAAAGATGTAGCTGTGTTGGTCTAGGGACCTATCACATAGAAGTCCAGAAGCTGGGGGACAGTGGAGGACAGTGCGGGAAACTGTGGGGCAGCACCCAGCTTCGTCCCCTTACCCGAGTTGGTCATGGCCTACCATCCCACGATGGTTTTCCAGCTGTCCATGGCTCCTTCAATGAGGATACGGGTAGCCACCCATATTCCTAGGGCTCTCTCTTAACATGCCGCCGGCATACTGCTGGGACAGAGCCCAACGGAGCCCCGCCAGGAGTAGCCCTGTGCCCTTTGATGGACTCTGTCGGGCTCCGTCCCAGCAGTGTGCTGGTAGCACTCTAGGATGGGGGAAAACCCCATCTGATGAAGTAGTCGATCCAAGATTACATTATGGATAGGAAAAATAAATATATAAGTGGAAGTCATAGGGGGAAGTGGGAAGGGAAATGGGAAGAACTGATAGCCAAGGTAAAGGGAAATCGGAAATACAGGAGACTGAACCAAACTATCCTTATGATCAAACAAATAAAATGAATGGTAAAGAGAATGTATGACTGTTTCAAGAGGGAGGGAGGTGAACGGGAGGGGAGGGGGAAAACAGTGGAAAAGGGATGCATACATGTAGGAGATGAGTACGGAATTGATAAGGTGTTGACAATAGGCGACATCAGAAAGGGGCGAGTATATACAGAAATTTATTTAATTTAATTTAATTTAATTTTGAATACATCACTTTTGTTGTTTTCTAAAGATTCTAGTGAGGAAATGTGGATATGTTATATTCTACTCGTGTGATCCAATGATTTTTTAAAAAGGTAGTTGATTGGTATACAAATTGATCTAATAGGACCTTTAAAAACTACCTGAGAGAAAGAAATTGATGTCATAAACTTTGGTAGACTTAAGTTTATTTCATCAGATGCATGGAATGAAGAACCTAGGAAAAGACTTTGATAGCTCTGAATGATTAGGCTGTATTTGGGAATAGCAACAAAAATGAAGAGATCTATGTGTATGGTGATGAAGGAACAAGTTCAGTTTTAACAATGGGATAGTTGTTTGGGGACAAAGGCAGGAGGAAAGATGTTCCTTCCATCACACTTGGAAGACACTTGTGATAGAAAGGAAAGATAAGAATGTCTCCCAGATGTGGTTATGCTTTTAGAGAAAGGAAGGGTTGTGATGGGGATTCCTCAGCCTGAAGGCAGAATCAAATTACTGGAACTGAAAGCAAGGGATGAGAAGGAAAACAGTCAAGAACTAAAATAGGTCAATGGGGTAAGAACTCTCCCTTCACTTTCTTTCATAAAATCTATAGAAAATATCACTAAAAACATTGATCAATCTTATGTTAAGAACACATTACAACTATGGTTTGTTTTTTTCAAAATTATTTTATTAATCTCCATTATTGTGTAATCCAGATTTAATGTAAAAAATGTGAAACATGTCATGGAATTAAGCAGTGCTGTACAACAAAGAAAAGAAAAAGAAAAAAGCTTCCACCAAAAAACTAGCAGAAATGTTTTTACTGGAAAAGCTGTTCAACAGTAGAATACGCTGCCCCAGAGAATGATGGACTTTCCTTCTTTGGAAGTCTTTAAAAACATGTTGGGCATCTCTCAGGAGTACTTTAGCTGTATTTTCCTGCATGGCAATGGGATGGACTAGACAGCACTTGTAGTCACACCCAACTCTATTATTCTATGATTCCAGAAAGGCGAATATTGGAAAATAAATACTAAATAAAAATAAGATGCTGGCTCAAAATTAATCCTTTGTTTACCTACTTTTAACAATACTAACATAGAGATCCTAAGCACACTGAACACTGCAATTCTATTCTCAAAAATAAACCCTTTTGAGTTCAGGTGAGGTATAATCTCAGAACCCTTTGTTAGAAAAATTATATCAATAGGGTTTGTGGAGATCCAATGTGCTACAGATTTCATTATGAGCTAGAATATCCACACAGTACAGAAAATATGTTCTGACATGTATTATTTATATTTCATTCCAGACATTATCATCATTATAATAAATGTTGACTTGATATGATACATCAAAGTACACAGAAATCACTGAACATACCTTAGTAGAATCTACAACCAACTGTCCAAATGGAATGAGCAGGTTGGGGAAGACATCCAAAGCATTTACAAGTGTTGGGATTGTCTCGGAGCCACCACACCAAAACATAAAGAAGAAAACCTGTGCATTCAGATAATTGAAAAATGAGCTTTCATCACAAAGAAAAATACATTTTATTTTCATTTTAGCCTACAATGCCAATTAGTAAAGGTGGTTTTTTTTAAAAAAGGTGATTTTATATGTTTTATCATTTGTATTCTAATGGAGACCAACCACATCAGTTAGACTAATAAGGCAAACAAGGTTGTCACCTGGTTACAATATGGTACAGCTTTTGATATAATTTCAGATATATGACACAAAAAATCAGGACCCTAAAATGTATTGATCTAAACAAATCCCAAAAGCAATGTTGTCACATACGCACAGACAGAGAGAGGAGAGCACTAAGTCCATCTGAGCCAAGACTGAAATCTTACCAATATCTGTGATAAGGCAAACAGATACACGATTCCTCCTGTGGTCAGTCCATTCCACCAGGCCACCCAGCTGTGATGCAGAGTCCCCCCAGTGCATTTATGGGGTTCTTCTGCCTTGCTGAGTTGATCCGGCTCTCCATCGGCATCATTCAATGGTTCCATCACCACCGGCTTTTAAAGACCTTCAAGTATGCAAGCAGCACAATCAGGAGATAATCAGTAATGCACAGTATATACTTTTTAGCTCTTTCTTCTATTATAGGAACTACAAAGAACAGGAAAAGCTTTCAATTATCTAACAATATCTACAGTTTGGAAATGCAACTGATTCTGATATAGAAGTTGTCTCTGCTACCTTCATTGGGAAAATGAAGTGTGGGTGGATACATTACCACATATTTTCCCTGTAGCAACAGAATCACGGTTTTGTTGTCCATTAATAAGCTGTTGTGTACTCTTGCCTTGCTCAGTAATTTAAAGTAATTTACAGCATCTACTTCATTTTTCAATATGCTTCTTTCTGCAATATTACTCAGGGTGAGGTTATGTGCCTTGCTTTAAACCTTTAAAGCATACTTGTTACAATGGTAAACTGCACTAATCACTTCAAGGTGCTCAGCAGCAATAAAAGAATATTTAGCCCAATTGTGCTTATAGTATTAGTGCTTAACAGCATTTGTTTAACTTTGGAAGGTCTTATGGATCATAATACCACCTCTTCAGAAAAATCCTTGCCACAGATGCAGTATATTCAGACTTTATGTTCCAAGGAAGGATACCTTCAATTATTTTTTGAATTGATTCCTAGGTAAGTAGGCACAGCATTGCAGGTAGCATTACATTCCCATGCACACTTGTTTGGGACTTAGCAGAACTCATTTCTGAGTAAAACTATAAATGTTACTGAAAATGTTAGAGTAAAATCCAAATAATAATAATAATAATAATAATAATAATAATAATAATAATAACTTTATTTTTATATCCCACCTCCATCTCCCCAATGGGACACTGGGTAGCTTACATGGGGACAAACCCGAGATTCGACATAGTTAAAATATAACAAAATACAATTCATAAAAGCAATTCAACAGTATGAAAACATACATAATACAATATATAGCAACCACCTAACAACTGTCAACTGTCTGAGTAGTGCACAATTCTGACCTCAGACGGGCGGGTTGGTGCAATCACTTCCAAAGGACAGGGTTGATGGATAAAGTGCTGAAGGCAGATGCCAAGATTAGAAACTGGGGGATGGGTGGTAGTGTAAAGAGAGCACTATATTTCTATTTAGGAAATAATGATAATGTGTAAGAGCTGGTTTTGGATCAAACTGGGGGCCAAAATTATTTGGGGAACTATCTAATCAAAAGCACATTGGAGCATCTACTTTGTGTGTGTTTATGCGTGCATGTGCATACATATGTATATGTATATAAAACATAGATAATACATCATGCATGCACTTTAGAAAAACAGTTGTTCACTTCCCCTTAAAATCAGAGGTCTTTATTCTGCAGTCTTTACCATTGTAATCAAAGCAATCTATCACTGAAAAACTGGGTGCAAAACCAAACTGTAACTGGTAAAACTTGTGCTTTATTATTAAAATAAATGAAATGGACCATATATGCTTCCAAGACAAAGATAAGCTTCCTTCTTCTCTGTGGTTGATGCCTAATTAAATGTACAGATTAACCTGTTTAACAATCCTCCTCTGTGATGGTGATCGATGTCTCCCTTCTTCCCCCTCTCCTTTTCCCTGTCTCACCCACAAAAGGCCTATTGCAATCTCTGGGCAAACTGAAGAGGGGCTGTGTGCCAAAATGTTTGAGGAGATTGCTTGACTTTAATAGTCACTGCTGAGTCACCAATCCTTTCCACATTAGTCTTCACATTGCTCCCACTCAGTCCACCTGTCATTTTATATGGAATGAGAGATGGGAGGGAAGCAATGTTCTCTTATTCCTCTATGGTGGATGGATTTCATCTGTGGATTTGGTCCCGATTTGTAGGAAGAAATGAACTCTGAGCAAAGATCTTGCCTTCAGCTGCATATAATACATATATCCATGCATGAAGTACAAGCTTAACACTTGATTTCCCCCCTCCATGTATGAGTCTTCAAGTTGCCTGTTGAATTATGATGATCCCATGAATTTCATAGTCTTCTTGTGCAATGAATACTCAGAGGTTCTTTTGCCAGTTCTTCCTCTGAAATATAGGCTACAGTAGTAGATATTCATTGGTGGTTTCCCATCCAAGATTTATCAGGAATAACCCTGCTCAGCATCCAAGATCAGGTGGGATCCCCTGTCTTAAAGGTATCCCATTAATCGATAGGAAATAGGTGAAGCAAGCACCATAAACTACTAAAGAATTTCTTGAAGGTCAGACTACATGACCCATGTGTGCACATAACTTGTATTTACGTCCTTGGGCACAACATGCGTTATTCGAGATTGTTCCCCTGCTAAATCAATGGGAAAAGCAAGTATCCATTACAACTGATCCCATTAGCATTTGGAGCCTTTTAAATGGAAGAAGAGTTTCCTCTCTTGTTACATGAAATTTGTGAAAGATAATTACAGTGGTGGGAACTACCTACTCCCTAAGGACAAATAGGCAAGTCTGAGACCAATACGGGAATGGGAGAGAATCGCATTGGTGAACTTCAATTTTATTAGTTTGGTTCTGTACTATACAAACTTTAAGAAACTATCTTCTACTGGCTTTGCCTAGAGGGAGGCATTGGGATGTCCAATCTGTGAGCCTTTAAGTCATATCTGGCTCATGGCAATACTAAGGTGAACCTATCACAGATCTGTTTTTTGAACCGAATGAGCTGTATAAATTTTTATGGCTGTCCTTAGAATATCCTTGCAAGAAACCACTACAATTCATTCTTGGCATCTGCTGTGGTTCCAAGCTGCCCAATAACTAGAGTTCTTTGGGTGATATAAAATATAAAATACATAAATGCATTCAATAAAATTGGCAGCAAAGACTACAACACTACATTATATGAAACCAAAATAGGACAATCAGGGAAACAGCAGAATGCTAAGGTGAAAGCCGGTCTGAGTCCCTCTATGGAGGTTGAGAAGATTGGGATATAAAAGTTTTAAATAAATAGAAGTGGGAAACAATCTTTATACTACCAGGAGAATATGGTCTTTGCTGAACACTAAAAAGATCTTAAAGTAGATACCAGACAAGATCCTTTGACAAAGACACCACTGTTCTCTGTGTTGCAGTCATCTGTCACAACTCATTTGACAAGGGGTGCATCTGCAATGCAGAATTAATGCAGTTTGATACCACTTTAACTGCCACAGCTCAATGCTATGGAATCCTGGGATTTGTAATATACTGAAGCACACCACTCTTTGGCAGAGAAGTCTAAAGACTTAGTAAATCTGCAACTCCCGTGATTCCACAGCATTCAGCCCTGGCAGTTAAAGTGGTGTCAAACAACACTAACTCTACAGTGCAAATGCACCCAGAGACAGTAGGAGAGCCTCATAGATCAGTGGTCCCTGGACTGGTGCCAGTCCAAGCCATAGTCCGTCCATCCTTGGCACACTACACAAAAAGTTACCAGTCTACTACACCAAATAGCTGAAAAACACTGCCTTAGATGGGTTCAGATAGGTGAACATGGGATGAGATGCAGAGTTATGCAACTTTAGAAGTCAAACACAGTCTTTTTATCCTTCCCACTTGGGGAATATTTCAAACCTCAATTAGAACTTTTTAAAAACTTAACTTGCTCTAAAAAGAGCTAGGTATAAAACATAATGTCAAATAACTGTTGCTTTATAAAGAATCTGAATCTTTAGTGAGAACATAATAAAACATATTTGTTTTCATTACACCCACATGTAATTAGTATTTGACTTGCTCAAGGATGCCCTTTTGTCTCTCTCCAAGAGGCCTTCCTTCTTTTCTTTTGAACAGTTAACAATTGTAATTGAAGTCTAACAATTAGTGCTTTTAAAAAGATTAACATGAATGTATTTGCTTGTGTTAAAGAAGTCAACTTTGTCATTTGTTAATACTTAGAAATACTGAGTAATAAAAGTGATGCACGAAATTCAGTACAGCTGTGTTTACACCAATTGGGTAGCCTCTTGACCCTGGAAAGTCACTCAGAAGCTAAGAACTTCCACAGCTGAAATCAAGATCGTCCATCATTCAAGCATCCACTTCACACAGATTGAAAATAAACTTGAAACAAAAATAATGAAGTTGGAGTTAAGAACACAAATATCAGTCCTTACACTTAGGGCCAAATTCCAATTTTACAACAGTAAGAAAAATCTTGAGTCTTTAAAAATATCATTGGTTAGCTGTTAACAAACTAGAATAAGCCTCACACAGTTGGGATTTTGGACCATATGTAAGAGATGAGGAAACAACCTGTAGCTTTAGAGCCAAATGTGGCCCATACTGTGATTTCAAAAGCCTGAGGTGAATTATCAGTTTAGATCTCTGGTACCAGCAACCTCCCTCTCCTTTAAAAGCCCACTGAATCAGAGAAAAGGGTGTGGAAGAGAATGTAAGTTATCAATTCAGGCTTTTGGCAATAGTTATGTGCCGTTCCTTTAATAACCCACAAGTGAAGAGAAACACGAAGAAAAGGGTATAAGGATAAAATAAAAGGATGTGGCAGATAGAGAGAGAAAGTGGATGATTCTACCTACTTTATGTACCAGTAACACCACCTAGTATGTTCAGTGCAGGAAAAGGGTGATGGTGGTGGTGTCCATCTAAACACAGGATCAAGCTAAATTGGACCTGATCTAATGTCCTTGAAGCCTCAATGAAACTGACATTTCACGCAATCTCTGGAGTTTTCCCCCAACTTTGCTTGAAGGGGGGGGGGGGCAAAATGTGTGTGTGTGTGTTTGTTTTTTTAAAATCCAGAAACCTCTCTAGAAGCTGCAATGTGAGTAATTAGCCACAGTGGTACTTGTCCTTGTCCTCTATGCTTTCTTTCTCACCAACCTGGGAGTCTCATCTTCTCACGCTACCTTTTATTTCATTTGGATTGCCCTACCTTAGGGTTTTCATGGCAAATGCATTTTCATTTTTACCATTGCTTCCTTCTACACAGTACTAATAAGAGTCAGTGCCACTGTCTCAGGGAGATCTGCTTTTAGTGTCACCCACT